GGGGTTCAGAGACCTTTCAGATTGGTGAACATGTAAAGATTTAGGCAAGCAATATGAGCAAAAAGCATATGAACTATGCCCCTCCTATAACCTTCACATGCTTGCACCTGGCTATTCCTGAGGAATAGCCCTTTTCTAGTCAACCAGTAATAAAGTAAATAAAATTTTTCTCATAGTTCTGTGTGCCATTGTGACAAACTACTGTAAGAGGAGGCCTGGTCATTAGATTCTCCAGACTAGCCAGAAGGTCAGAAGCACCAGTGATATAACCTGCCCTTGTGACTGGTATCTGAAGATGGGGTGGGGCAGTCTTATGGGAATGAACACTTAACCCGTGGGATCTGATATTATGACCAGGTAGAAGTAGACAGCATTAAGTTGAATTGGACACACACCCTGTTGGTGTCTGAAAATTGTTTAGTAGTGTGAAACCTATTGTTCCCCTTTCTCCACAGCATGTTCAAGTTGAGATCCTTTTCGGTTGTATCCCCAGAACACGGCACAGTGCCAGGCATGTGGTACTTACTAAACATAATTTTTCAAGTGGTACTACAACACAGTGACTTTATAATAATGGTGTACAAGTTTTGACTCCTGCTGTTTTCACACATTTGCATTAGAACAAGAGAGTCAACATGTTTCTGTGCAGTAGAGGTTGAGGTGAAGATACTTTCTCGCTCTGGTTTTTTGTTTGTTTAGTTGGTTTTAGTTTAGGAGCCACATCCAGTGATGCTCAGGGTTTATTCCTGGCTCTGCACTCAGGAATTACTCCTGGCAGGGCTCGGGGACCAAATGGAATGCTGGGGTACAAACCCAGGTCAGATGCATGCGTGGCAAAAAAAAAAAAAAAATCCAAGGGCTCTGGCCCTTGAAGATATTGCTTTCATAGGAAGGCGTTTTATTCTAATACATTACCTAATTTTTAAGTTATTAACTTTTGCAATTTAGTTTGGGGATTTTTTTTTGTTTAATTTTGGAAACTCTCCTTACTTAGACTTAAAAGATAAATATGTGGCACCTAGATTTTACTAGCTTGAGATCCAGAAATCACTGGTGTATTATACTCTAAATTCAACGCTTTTTTCTTTGGATACAGTTGTTGTGAATCTACTTCACCATGTTCAAAATATATGATTTTATCTTATGTATATGTTTTTAGTGACCTGCTCTTCCTCAATAACTTCCTTTTTTTTTATACTTTATTTATTTATTGAATCACTGTGGGAAAAGTTACAAAGCTTTCAGGTTTAGGTCTCAGTCATGCAAATATCAAACACCTTTCCCTTTACCAATACTTATTTTTTACCATGAAGAACCCCAATAAAACCCCACCCCCCACCCCTCCCAATGCCTGCGAGGCAGATGAATTCTAGTTGACACTCTATCTGCTTTGGTTAGATTCATTGTTTCAATAAAAGATGCACCACTATTATTTAGAGTTTACCCCCTCCCCCCAAATCAGACATGCTGAGAAAGCATTGTGAAGTGATTCGCTTTCTACAGCTGGGTTCAAGAATTAAATGTTGGTTTTGGATTTCCGCTATTTTGCTAATTAACCCTGGAAGTATTTCTACTGAGAGTCAGATAATTAAGAGATTGGTTTCTGTGCTCTGGAGTCATGGCTGTGCTGGAGAGCCACTCGTGGGGGGCAAGTAGCGGCCTCGGTAGGGCGTGAAGGACGGACTGGAACGCCCCCCTTCCCATGAGGTTTTAGTCGCCCCCACACCCCCGGCTCACACCTGCTCTCCACAAGGCACCCATGTGGTCGCCATCTTCTTTCCAGAGAGGAGAGGGCGAATGGGGCAACACCCTTTCTCCTCCAGGCAGACATGTTGGCCTGGATTAACGCATAGTCCATTCACTTTTCTGCTCCAAGCTGCTGGGTTCTGCATTAAGTCCTTGTGCTTCTGGGGCCGTGGCCTTGCTGGAGAGCCGCTCGTGGGGGGCAACTGATGACCTCGGTAGGGCGTGAAGGACGGACCGGAACGCCCCCCTTCCCATGAGGTTTTTGTGGCCCCCACACCCCTGGCTCACACCTGCTCTCCACAAGGCTCCCATGCGGCCGCCATCTTTCTTTACAGAGGGGAGAGGGCGAATGGGGCAACACCCTTTCCCCTCCGGGCAGACATGATGGCCTGGATTAACGCATAGTCCGTTCACTTTTCTGCTCCAAGCTGCTGGGTTCTGCATTAAGTTCTTGTGCTTCTGGGGCTGTGGCCATGCTCCAAACTTAACTCTGATTTTCAGGGAGAAACGTTGGGTAATTTACTTCCCATTGATCACTTTGTATATATAGAGATGTTTGGAGGAAAAGTCCTAGTTCCCACATACTCGAGCTATGCTTGTGGAGGTTTCTGGTCACGGGGGTTCCATCTGGGGGAGGCGGGATGTGGCACCTACCCCATCTGGGACTTCCCGGTGATCTCGGCTCTTTTTAGAACCTGGACTCTTCTCCGGGAGCTGTGGAGTCAGCCCTCCATGTGGTCCTTCTTCTCTCTGTACAGCAGTGTGCTGCAAAGATGGCGCTGGGGGGGGGGGGGGGGGGCGGGCCATGGGCGTGACTTCCGGGATTAGAGGTTATATGGGGGCCGGGATAGTCCCGGCGGTTTGAAGGAAAAGTCCTAGTTCCCGCATACTCGAGCTATGCTTGTGGAGGCTTCTGGTCACCGGGGTTCCATCTGGGGGAGGCAGGATGCGGCACCTACCCCATCTGGGACTTCCCAGTGATCTCGGCTCTTTTTGGAACCTGGATTCTTCTCCGGGAGCTGTGGAGCCAGCCCTCCATGTGGTCCTTCTTCTCTCTGTACGGCAGTGTGCCGCAAAGATGGCCAATAACTTCCTTTTGTTTAAACTGTTATGTAATTATTGCCAAGTAGGCTCACACTTATTTAAAATGGTAATTGTTAACTTTATATTTTTGTACAATTGTACTTTTTTTAAAAAGAATAAAATAAACTCGTGGTACATTATATTTTAATTCCAAAAGGAAAATTTTTACATTTATGGTTACACATTTATGCAGTGGTAGTACCCTACCCACTGTACTCTCTCTCCAGCCCCTAAGATGGAATTATTTATGAGGGATTTCAGATACTTTATCATTGTAATGTGCTTTTTTTTCCAAATTAATTTAAAATAACTGACTATAAGCTCTATGATTTTGTTGTTCCAAACCTCCCTCCCCTTCCGCCCCCACCTCTCTCCCTCTTTTGGTTTTTGGTTCTGGGGTCACATCTGGCAGTTATCAGGACTTTTCCTGGCTTTGCACTTCGGGATCACTCCTGATAGGCTCAGGGGACCATATGGGGTGCCAGGGATTAAACCTGGGTTGACCACATGCAATGCAAATACTTTATCCACTATACTATCTCCAGCCTCTCTTTCCTAAACCTTTCTGTATCTTTATCTATACAAATGTTTACATGGGATTTAAATGACTGAATCTATGAATACATGTAAAGTACTCAGAGGACTGTTGCACAATGAAATTGACCAACAAATACCAGTTGCTTTCACTAGTAATAGTTATAATAATAATAATAGCAATAGCAGTAATAGTAGTAGTAGCTCTGCACTGAACTGTCCTCCAGTTGTTCATCGATTTGCACAAGTGGGCACCAGTAACGTCTCACAACAAATTGTGAGGATTGTTGTTACTGTTTTTTTTGGCATATTGAATATGTCACGGGGAGCTTGCCAGACTTTGCCATACAGGTGAGATACTCTTGATAGCTTTAACTTTATTCTCAATGTTTGATATTCAGCAAGTCATTATTTTTAAAAAATACTATTTGAAATTTAAAATCCAAATATTTTCTCACCACCATATAAAGAATTATCTTTCAGAAATTCAGAATGAGGAATATGACTGGCCTTAAAAAAACCAACAAAATCATATGGCCTTGCCCTGAAGCATGACAGGACAAACATGTATGCTTCTTGCTGGAGGCCTGTGGCCCTTATGCCTATATTGTATGACCTGAGAATGATGTTATAAATATCCAGTTGGATTTTGGCAGAAACAAGATTCCCCACCCCTGCCTTAGAATTACTGGTTTTTAAATAAATGCCTGTAAATAAAATTTTTAGTCAATACAGTAACATCGATCTATTTGAAAAGTAGGTTCTGAGTGGTCTAAAATATTGCCTTTGAGACAGTTACATTATTTCTAAGTTGAAAGCACAGAAGTTAATTCAAAAGAAAATGCAAGAATTTAAAAAAAAAACATGGGATATAGCTAAATAGCAAAAGAACTTTTAAGCAGAAAATGTGGGATGATTAAATTATCTGAATATTTTTTAGTTGTTTAGTTTTTATAAATCAAAAATATGTTCAACTTCCATATATTTAAAATTTAAATATAACTTGCACATTTATAAAGTAACTAAGCAACAAGGTTTTATTTTAAAGCTTATATAATCATTCCATAATCCAATATATATATAATAATGGTTGAGAATATGAGCACTAGAATCTAAAAAACATGAATTCAAAGTTTACTTCAACCACTTACCACCTGTTTAATCTCAGATAAGTAAATTTGATATTTCCTTATCTGTAAAATAGAAACAAATATGCTTCTTAGGTTGTTGTAGGATATAAATATGATAATATATGGAAAGAATTTAATTGGAATCTGACTCATGTTAAATAGGAAATATTTTTAGGAAAATTGCATAAGGTGAACAAGTTTCCTATTAAATACCTTGAATGTCTGTGTGTGTTTAATGGTTTTTGACTTGGTATGATAATAGAAATTAGTGGCTTATCTCTGAATAATAACACATGAATTCTGTTTCCTCATTTAGCTATGTGATCTATAAAAATAAACATATAAATCTTTAAAAATATAAACTTTAAAATTCTAGTTTAGCCTCATGTAAGTCTTCTGAACTCTCACTTAAAGGTATTCCTGCTTTTTCTTTATTTTCTTGATGAGATTGGCATACTATTGTTTTTATATTATATATAAAAATAACTTTTTACATATATTTGACAGAAACTATATGAAGCACCACTTTCTGAATTTGAAAAGACACCATTTCATCATGGGACAGCAAATTTCGGATCAGACACAGTTGGTTCTTAACAAATTACCCGAAAAAGTAGCAAAACATGTTATATTGGTTCGAGAGAGTGGCTCCTTGACTTATGAAGAATTTCTTGGGAGAGTAGCTGAACTTAATGATGTGTAAGGCTTATTCTTTTCATTTTATTTTTCACTGATATATGCCCTGTATATATCATGACTATGTGTGAGGAAGCCCAAAATATCAATTGATAAGTCTTTTCAACAGCATTTAACAAATATTGAGCGTCTACTGTAATATTCTAATTGGCTACTTATAGTTATATTGATAGGGCCCAGGTTGATAGTGCATGTGTACCTTGGTGTGATCCTTGGTGCCATACGGCTCCCTTAGCTTCACCACTATAGTCCTGGTGGCCCTGTGAGCAGCACTGCATCCTCAGGCCCTTACACTGAGCCTCTGGCCCAGAAAACTCCCCAGCTCCTGAGCACTGCTTGGAGCCCCCTTGCCACCCAAAGAATATACAAACATGTATTATCTATATGTTACAGGTATAGAAGACACAGTAGGAACTTAAAATGAATTTGAATCACAGACATACAGATTGACTCTTCTTGGAAAGCAGTTAAGAAAGCAGTTAGGTAGTGCTTAATAGAAGAGCTGCCTGACACTCCAGAGACAGGTTTCTAGGAGTCAGAGGGTACCCAGTTTCTGCGCCTCAACCAGTTTAGTGCATTAGTAAGTGAAAATGCTATTCACTGAAATGTTATTTTGCCAGAGAAATACATAAATAGTAATAGCAATAACTCATCATCATTGAGAAATATGATTTTTTGTTATGAATTCATTCTTTAACAATTTTCTATAAAACCACTCCCAGTGGTGCTCAGGGGACTAGGGACCACTCCAAACAATGCTAGCTCTAGCAGCACAGGCCTCATAGCTCAGGCCTGGGTTTTGGTGCTTGAACATAGTAGTCACCAGGGCTACACTTGGTGTTGCTGGTAGACATCAGGGCTATACCTGGTGGCTGATGGTTCTGGGGGTGAGGAATGCATGTAGTGTTGGCACATTCAGGACCTCACACATGCTGAGCATATGCTCTGCCACTTGAACCATACCTCTAGTCCTATCATTGCCTTTTAAATCAAATCTTAAAGGTTCTTTCTTAGTCTGTATATTTCAGCTAGCACCACTGAGCACATGCTTTATGCAAGGTCCTCTGCTGAAGGTTGAACGGTCTAACAGGGCTAAAATGATTATTCAAATATTAATGTATCTTCAACTAGTCCTGGGCATGAAGCTCTTTCCATTGTCCTGTTAACTCTCCTTTAGCCCATTAAGTATCATAATCACTGAGCAGTCACTTAATAACTAAATTTACAGTTGCTATTAACAGTTTAGTGTAGGATACATGAACTTGCTCCTTAAGCTTTAACTCTGTCAGATGATGAAAGACATACTTATCATCTGGAGCACATTAGATGAGGAGACCAAAATACTATATTTTCTAAACATGGAATGGTATCTACTGTTATTAGCCATTATATAAGAATAAAATTGAGCCTTAAAAGTTATTTTAGAAAGCTGTATTTTTTTTCAGAACATAGGATTTCCTTTTAAAAGGAAAAAATTCTGGATATATATAGATATATATGTACAAATATGTATATATTTTTATATATGGATTCTATACATATAGATGTATATAAGATGGAAATGTCTGAGTCTCTGGAGAGTTCCTGGAAAAGGAGATGCTGATGGAATTTACATTTTACTATGTATATGTGTTTATTGTGTAATTTTTTATATTAAAATGTATCTAATGCTTTAAAGCTATTATTTTACTTTATTTTTAAGATCATACAATTGGTAATATTTGAAGCATTACTTCTAGGACTATATGTTTAAGGAGTAAAATTGGATTAGTAAATTAATCTTACCATAAATCTGGAATACATTTATGTTTATTATAATTCATAAGACAACTTATCAATCTTTAGAATCATGAAATTTATATAATAAACTTAATCTAGTGTATAAAATTTTGCCTTAAAATACCAGCTAGAATTCATCCTATGAAAGCATCTACAAGTTTTGTTTACTGTTTGATACAGAGGTTATGCTTAAGACTGTGCACCTTTTATTTTCCACAGGAGGTTTCAGACTGGATTGGGTTTTTAAAACTAATTTTCCTGAGCTAGTGGGTGTTATGCAAGTGCAATGCCATCTGAAAACTATAAAATCAATCCTATGTAGAAGTATGGCTTGATAACTAGAAAACCAAACTGAGAATTGGCATAGTAGAATTATTTTCCACACTAAGACTTTGTTACCTAAAGCTAGTTGCTTAATTTTTGATCCCTCAATTTATTTAACTGTACGTCACTTGGTTAAGTTAATCCTCTTTAAAAATTATATTTCTTTATTACAATCCTTTGACTCTCTTAAATTTTCCTTCTGCTTTGAAGTGTTTCTCACACTTTCATAGCACTGTTATGTTACATAACTTCATAAAATCTACAAATGTGTTTTGTCTTTTCAGAACTGCTAAGGTAGCTTCTGGCCAAGAGAAACACCTTCTCTTTGAGGTACAACCTGGCTCTGATTCCTCTGCCTTTTGGAAAGTGGCTGTACGGGTGGTTTGCACCAAGGTGAGAGTGATAGAGATTTCCAACCCTGAGTTTAAACTTCGTGATTAGAGCTGCAGTTAAAGATCAGAAGGTGGCTTAAATGACTGGACTGCATTCTTTGTATGCAGGAGCCCCTGCTTATTTGCAGGTGCTTTGCTGCTGAGCCATCTTAAAATTCATGTCTTAAGTATGAGGAAATTGCCTCAACACTAAATAGGATAACGCCTAATTGACACTATGGGGTTATTTTAAGTAATTAAATGAGTTGAATTTGGGTACTGGTAGGGTAGTACAGTAGATAGGGCACTCACCTTCCATGTGTTTGACCCAGGTTAGATCTCCGGAATTTTATATGTCCTCCAGCCCCTGCCAGGAGTGGTCCCCTGAGCTCAGAGCCAGGAGTAAGTCCTGAATACCAGGTGTCGCCCCCAAACAAAACAAAACAAAACGTGTTGAATTTGTGTTAGTACTTTGAACCCCCACAAAAGAGAAAACATCATGCCACTAGTCATTTGTTCAGGAACTTTTTAAATTAAATAATTTGTAAACCTTAAAGACTCCTGTTTTCTCAATTGTTTGACTGTTTGTTCCCTCCTTTTTTTTTTCTTTTTGGGGGGTATTTTTAGATTAATAAAAGCACTGGCATCGTGGAAGCATCACGCATCATGAATTTGTACCAGTTTATTCAACTTCATAAGGATATAACAAGTCAAGCTGCAGGAGTTTTGGCACAGAGTTCTACTTCTGAAAACGTTGATGAAAACTCATCATCTGTAACATCTTGTCAGGCTAGTCTTTGGATGGGAAGGTAGACACTGCACAGTTACTATATGTCCCTCATTTTCCAATATGCAAGTTACTTGAATCTTATTAATAGTTTTGATATTGTTGTTTGTGACATTTTAGATCCCACTATTTTGTCTCGGTTGATAACGTACCCTGAATTTGATTTTGGATTATTATGTGCTTCAAGACATTTTTAAGATTATCTAACTAAAGAAAACTTAAAGGTTTGCAATGTGTTTTTTTTTCTGTTAATCTGTTTTCCATGAATCCACTTGTGACATATTTGCATTTAATAACAAATGTTGTGGTTAATGCTCCTCTTATAATAGATATTTAGGGACTTAGACAAATCCTTCAGTAAATAAGATCCAAGAATCTGACAAAACCATTCTAGTTTTCCTGAAGTTTTTTGACTTATTGGAACATTAAACTTTCAAATATTGGATCCAGGAATTGTTAGTCCATTGAGGAATGAGCAGGTTACACATTTCACATATATTAACTGAGTTACCAAAAGGAAATTAAGTCAACCAGAGTTTTTTCTGATGGAGCTTGTGGACTCAGCCCTAATATATTGCCATTCTATGGAAATTTTCTCTTCCTTCTCTATAATGCTTTTGTCATGTGGAAATTCCCACCTGTTACCATTTGAAAATCATAATTTAAATTTGTAATTGCCTTGATGAAAAAAGTCTTATCTGGATTCAGACATGCTGACATCATTTCTCACTGTCATACTGGGTAAAAAGCAGCAATCTGTACTGACAGTATCTTTTACCTTAAAGTTAATAATATGCTTGTACCTGAAGAGATAGTATAGGGATTAAGGTACTTGCCTTGCATGCAGATGACTCCAGTTTAATCCCTGGCACCACAGATGGGCCCCCAAGCTTCTTTAGAAGTTACCACCCCCCGCAGCATAGAGACAGGAGTAAGCCTGGAGCACTGCCAGTGACAAAACCTAGTGTGTGTGTGTGTGTGTGTGTGTGTGTGTGTGTGTGTGTGTGCGCGCGCGCGCGTATGTATGCTTGACCAGAATTTCTCTTTCATTGCTTCATTTGCTTCATTTATATACTGTGTAATTTCTATTTATTATTTCTTATTTTATAGGATAGTTTGCTTTCCTCATCTTGGGCTATTTAGGGTTACCGAAATACCAAATAAGTCTGAGAATATTACAGATAGTGTTTAGGCTTAACTTTTATGTATTTTGTAAAGTTAATCTTTCAAATATAATTACCTGATTTTCTACCTATTTTCCTCTTCGTTCATTTTTGTATAGTATTTTGAAAGCTAAGAATAGGATTTACCAATATATTTAAGCTCTGTCATAGCAAAAGAAAAGAAAATAATGATTTTCTCTTGTAGCGGTCATCATAAGAAAGGAGGTATGGATGTTACCACTTTTTATTGTGGCTTTGAAACTGGGATACTCATTGCTTGATCATTGGATTAAGGTTCCTTCTTGCCTTTTTGTGTCTTTTGCCTTTTTATTACACTAACTCACTGAACACTGGACTGTCAAATCTGAAGGTGATCTTATGGAGTCTTTGCCTCTGTTAGGCTTAGATCTAAAGCATATTTCTCTCAGTGATTTATATTAATTGAGTACTTACAGAATATTAGGTATTTTGAGGATGATGCTTCACATGTATAGCTCATTAACCTCACAGTAACATCATGGAATGCACTTATTTACACACTTGGTGAAAAAAAAAATTGAGGTTTAGATAGGTAAGTGCTATAGCTAGAAATTGGTCTAGATTGAGACACACCACATCCTTCTAACCTCTACAATTATTGCTCTGGTGCATGAAGATTCCCGTACAACAGTACTTCCTAAACTGATAATCAGTGTTACTGTACTTTGAGACTTTGAGGAGCCTGAGATTCTGTCAGGCACCTGGAATTGACACTGCTACTGAACCACAGATAATTCTTTGAAAAATAAGACCTACTGATCACTTGCAGACAAGTGGTAATTAGAATTGTACTTAAACACAATGTAGTTTATACAATATTCACTGCCCCAGAAGAGCAAACCTTCTCCTAGGCTCTAAGCACTATGAAATTTTCCCTTTTGTCCTTCAGTAGCCAAAAATCTAGCTTTTTTGAACCAACCCAACAAGTCTAGTATCAAATTACCTATGTTCACATCTTGGTTCTACTCCCAACTGTGTCTTTGGAAATGGAATTTCAGTTTCCTTATCTTAAAAGAGAGTAAAAAAATAATCTATTTCTTAGAATTGTTATGAGTCAGTATTTGTAAAGTGATTAGACTTGTGCCTGTCACAGAATAACGATGTCTATAAGACTTAACTCTCATTATTACACTATTACTTCATATTCCTTATTCTTTGCATTCTACTTATTTCTTTAATTAGCTCAAATTTCATCAAATAATTCTGTTCTCTAATATTTGAAAACAGTAAACTGAATTCTCATTTGAGCCTCTCTTCCCAAGAATAAGTTTCCATATTTCATTTGCCCTTTATGTGGATCTCTTCTCCATGGTAGTTTTCCTCTTTCATTGCCTCTGGAGAAGAGGACATAGATAGAATTGAATAATAGCCTGTTCTGTTTTACAAGTCATCTAATAAAAAGAGCAAGACTTTCTCCCTTCTGGTCACTGGTCCCTGCTCAAGTGATTGTTGCACCAGTTTTATTGGCTGTTTGTGTCTCCTAGTTTTTGTTTGTTTTTCTTTCCAGAAGGGTTTTCATGAACCTCTACTCCTCACTTTTAAGCTCTAACCCTCAGAATTCTGTTACACTCTAGATTCAGCTGTATTTTCTGACTGACTACCAAGTTCCCAGTTGTAGATGTAAATATAATTTCCTCAAATGGCGGGATCTCAATCCATGTGGGCCTGGCGTAAATGTGCAGAGCCTAAAAGGCACTTAAAATAGTTGAACTGAATTGTGTGTGTGTGTGTGTGTGTGTGTGTGTTTAATTATTCTTATTCACATTCATCTAGGTATTTCATTTTTCATTTCAGTTCAGTGGTGCTCTTTTGTCCAAACATAAAATTTTATTTTACCACATTCCTATGCCTTGCCTTGCAATACCCCTTAGGCCGTATTATCTCCCAGATGAATTGTTGAAATAAGACTCTTATTAGTTTTTTCCACCTCTAAACCAATCTCTTTTATCCTTGTGAACCAGGACCAGTCCATGGACCAGTGGTTGAAAAACACATCTCTAAACTGTTCTTGTTTTTATTTCCAATTAATCTCTTTTAAAGGAGATTTCAGAAGTAGTTTACTTCTGTCTGATTAAACTCTGATTTCTAACTACCTATCATAAATTGCAAAGTTACTTTTCTGGAATTCAAGGATTTTTTTCTCTGCTATATTTAATCAGCTCCATTTCTTCGTTTTTTTCTCCCCAATCCTTATTACGTAGTTTTTTCCCTTACCTCCATGATTTTCTTTATCCACTTAGAGTGTATTGTCATAATTCTTTTTTCTACATCATTGTTCCAACTTAAAATATATTAATTTCTTCCACTTGTACTACTAATCAATGTATGTAATGTACATTTGACATTTACTGAGATTCTGTTTTATGTTCAAATCTACAAAAATTTTGAGGTTATACTAGTGTCATATGCAGTACTGTAGCATAATCTAGTGGCAAAACTTACAAATATTATTTTTATTTTTGTAACTACAAAAGTAATATATGCTTGGTGAGGAGAACCTTAAAAATACAAAGAAAATCAAATTAAGATCAGTCCAAAAAACATTTATTAAAAACCTAAAATAAACTCCCTCTGTATAAAAATCTTACAGTTTATGGATAAAGCAAACAATAAACAGTTACAATGAAGTATTTAACTCCTAAATTTGATGGAAATTAATGGAAATGCTGGTTTTGATAGTGGAGATATTTGAGCTGAGTTGCTGAAGTCTGAGTTGACTAAACTCATGAGTGTTCTAGGAAAGAAAAATACCACAGTCAAGGTACACGATTCAGGGGCACATGGAATCGTGATGGGTTAAAGATCTGTTGTCTTTCCCAGATGAAAAGCAGACTAACCTATTTTTTTGTTTATATCCACTATAAGCATGGGAGTGCCCTGCTGGCACGGACCAGTTTTAGAGAGCTTTATATCTTGCATGGTAACGGTACAAAGTAGACAGCACAGTGACAGCAGAAGATATTCCTCCAGCTCCGTGTTCACATTGCAGGGTGAAGCAGCTGACGGAGGAAGAGGAGTGCTGTATTTGTATGGATGGCCGAGCTGACCTCATCCTGCCTTGCGCTCACAACTTTTGTCAGAAGTGTATTGATAAATGGTAAGATTTCTACAGCCTTCGTGCTTTAGGCAAATAGTGCATATTAGCATACTCCAAAATTAAAATTATAGTTAAGTGTAAGAATTTTGTTCTTTCTTTAGTACTTTAAATTTTGTGGCAGGCTTTCAATTGGGTATATTTTCTAAAGTTTATAAAACTTAGGGCTTTATCTTTAGTTATGACAACAGTATGAGGAAATTTCCTGATTTGAGTCTAGAATTAATACTTCCTTTTTTCTTTCTTCTTTTTCCTCATTTCTTCATTAACCCTCTCTCTCTCTCTCTCTCTCTATATATATATATATATAATTATATATGACAAAAAATAATGTGAATATTGGATGCAGAGGGAACTTAAGAGATCAGATAGTCAAGATGATTACTGTGTAAAATAAGAATAATTTAGGAGTATTTATAATGAACATATATTTAAAAAATTAATTGATATGTTTTGATGTATAAACCCATTAAAAATCAAATAATCTAGATAATGGACATGCCCATTACCCACAAAATTTACTTTTTGGGGCTGGAGAAATAATACAGTGAGTAAGGTACTTGCCTTGCATGCAGCTGACCGAGATTCAATCCCTGACATCCTATATGCCAGGAGTAATTCATGAGTGCAGAACAAAAAGTAACCCCTTACCGTGGTTGGGTGTGGCCCCCAAAATACTGCTTTATAAAATCACATTGTAAACTTTTCTTTCCATCCTTTCTTTGATGGGAAGGAAAGCCACTAATACGCTTTTTTTGTCACTAGCAACTAATTTGAATTCTAGAATTTTTGTAAGTGAAATCATGTAGTATGTACTCTTTTTTATGTTTTTGGCCTCCCTTTATTCACAGTATATGATATTTTGAGACATCACCATGTTATAGTATGGATCATGTTGCATGTAGTATTTTCTTTTTTGTTGCTTTTTGATATTTATTATATATACAAGTAGTTATTTATCCATGTACCTATAAATGGACATTTATTTTGCCTCTAGCTTTTGGCTGTTACAAATAAAGCTACTATCAAACACAGGTTAGTCTTTTTTTTTTTTTTTAATGCTGTATCAGAGCTTACTCTGGCTCTGCACTTAGGGATCACTTCTGGCAGGCTTGAGAGACCCTATGTAGTACCCGGGTTTTAACCCAAGTCAGTTACATGCAAGGCAAACGTCCTATTCACTGTGTACTATCTCTCTGGCCCTCATGGATTAGTCTTTTTAATGAACATATATTTTAATTTTTGAGGGGGTAAATGCATAGGACTGGAATTATTAAATCATATGCGATAGGTCTATGGTTACTCTACAAAAACAACTATTTTTCAAAGTACTGTTTTACATTTCCGTCATCAGTATATGAGAATTTCATTGCTCCATCATTTTGGCAGTACATAGTATGCTATTTTAGTCATTCTGATGTGTGTAGTAATTCTCATTGTTTTTCATTTGCATTATTATGTAGGACTTGAGCAGTATTTAATTTAGAATGATTTATGCCCCCCTAAAAAGAGAAGACCCTTCAAATTACCCTACGTCAGTGAATTATGAGGTTCACATAATTATGAGGCTGATGGAAGCAGACAATATCCCAGACTCTGTGGAGCTTTAGGAATTACTCCCTTAGATTTATTCTGTCAAGTCACCGACCTCTTGGAGTTTCCTCACACACACACACTGATCATTAATCCTTGCTTTGCTTTGCTCTCCAGAACTTCCCCTCAGTGCTCTTCTCCTCTCCGGTGCTCTGGCTCCCTTTGTTTCCAGGATTCTCAGCTCTCTCTCCAGCTGGGGGTTTCTGGCCAGTCCCTGTTCGGGTTCCCTTTTCCCTGTGGCCTGGAAAAGAGGCAGTTAGCTGGGGCAGCATTGGGATTTACCTTCCCTGCTTCCCATAGCTCAGGATTATTGTTTGCCACCTGATGTTCATTGCTGAAGCCATTACTTCATGCATTTTGTCCTTTGTTTTAGTTATTTAAGTGGGAAAATAAATCTGGTTCTTGTTGCTTGGAAGCAGAAATGAACTGTTTTGAAATTTTGTAACTTGTGCACTGAAGAGCACTTTCTTAATTACCTTGTAAAATATCTCCAGGGAACCAGAAATCAACCTGAATAATATATGCCAGCTCTAACTTTCACATTTAGCTTTTGGAACATAATTCTAAATTTTTTGCACAAAGCCAAAGAGCAGTTGATACAATTAAATTACTTTGGCTTCAGATTTCCATGAGAGATGAAGAGAAAAACATTTTCCGAGCATGACATGTTTCTGGTTCAGATGTGCTATTTTTGAATTTTCCAAAATTATATTTGATGAGAAAAAATTCTTTCTGGAAAACATAATGATAAATGATCAGACATTAGATCTTTTCCTCCCAGAAAAGTCATTGTGTATATAAAGTTCATTTTTTACAATTTTGAAACCTTGAATGCTTCCATTCCATTAAAGCACTAGACCAGGAAAAACCTAAATGTCCTCCTATGGGAGACTACTTAAATGAACTATGGTTTATCCATGTAATATATAATTAAAAAGAAGTATTATGCACAGCTCTAATATGTGCATAATGGTCTATGCGATACATATGTCAAATTTAAGAGCAGTGATATATAGATTCATAAACTTGATCATTTTTAGTCCATATCTGTCTTTCCCAAAATAGACGACATCCTTTCCCAACCTCGGGAAATGCTGGAAGATCCATAGGGCCATAATAATCTCAGTTACATTTGGAGGGGTGATTTTTTTTTTTTCTCAAATAGCGGGGAGTAAATCAAGTAAGTTTGGAGCCTGGTAACTGTGGTTGCTCTGGAGGAAAGAATTAACAATTGTAACGAGAAGGAGAGTTTTATTTTTCACTGTGTGCTTTTATGCTCTTTGCTTACTTTAAGACATGTCCATTTATTACTTTTTTCTTTTTTTTTTTTTCTTTTTTGGGTCACACCCGGTGATGCTCAGGGGTTACTCCTGGCTCATGCACTCAGGAATTGCTCCTGGCGGTGCTCGGGGGACCATACAGGATGCTGGGAATCGAACCCGTGTTGGCCATGTTGGCTGCGTGCAAGGCAAACACCTTACTCGCTGTGCTATCGCTCCAGCCCCATCCATTTATTACTTTTTAAACAAACCTGTTTCTAAAAAGTCAAAAGAATACAACTGTTCTCTATTTGATTCTCTTCTAGGAGTGATCGGCACAGGAATTGCCCTATTTGTCGTCTACAGATGAGTGGAGCAAATGAATCCTGGGTGGTGTCAGATGCACCCACGGAAGATGATATGGCTAACTATATTCTGAACATGGCAGATGAGGCAGGCCAGCCCCATCGGCCATGACCTTCCGGTAAAGACACTTTGGTCATAGAAAATACGGGGCTTTGTAGAGACACAGACACAGAAGTTATTTTTTGCAATTCTGGCTAGTTGTCCTATTTCTTTTGATAAACTTTCCATGTCTTCCATTTGTGATAAACTAAAATTTACTACTGTTGTAGTCACTATTTTCCTATTAGTTATCTATTCTAATAGAACTAACTGCTCTTAAATTCTTTGCTGAAGTAAAAGTTACATTTCCAGAAGCTTCTGAAACACCTTTTCAGGCCAGGAGCATTTTAGATCTTTTAGATAGGTTCCAAATAAACCATGAATGTGAAAAAGTTGTAGCCATCTAAGAAAAAAATGGAATGACAGATAATGTAGAATATATTAAAGTGCATGTACTACTAGTCTATCTGCTGGAATCTAAGGAGTATCTATGCCCCCTTGTGGTTAATTATTGCTCCTTTAATGATTTTTACTTGAAATGGTACAGTTATTTCATAATTTTGGTAGTGTTTTGAAACTATATTTTTTACTTAAGTCTCCACCCTCCCTCCCCAGTGCTGCATAATTTGAGAGGATTATAATACTGGGCATGACTTTGGTGTCATGGATTTCTGCTGGGGAATTGTCTTGGCTATTCTGGAAGAGCTTCCTCACAGCTAGGAAGCTGTTCTACACAGCTGCTATCATTCCCCCCACTAACTCCCTAACCCCCCTCATCCCACCCCCATCTCTCATACATACAGTGTTCAGAGAAGCTCTGGGCGACTCACAGCAATACTGGTTCAGTGATGCTCAGACCCAGCAGGTGCTGGAGGCCAACAGGGTACTCAGGGTGCTGAGAAAGAAATTGAACTTGGGGCCTCTGCCTGCCAGACATATGCTTCGGCCTTTTGAGATGTCTCCAGGCCCTCTAAAATCACTTTTTAGTATTGCTTATTTGGTGTTTCAGATGGAACATTTTCTTCCCCACAGATCCTAAATTGTGTATTTCCAAGTTTTGATAAATCATTCAATATTGGTTTATGGGTAGTTACTTTTATTTTCTTAGTTTGAAGGAATCTTTATGAAGTCTCAAGTCTTCAAATTTATTAGACCAAGAGAAAATAAAGGTCCAGAGATCACTCAGAGGGCTAGAGTTGCCTGTTTTGCATGCTGGAGGCCTGAGTTTGATCCCCAGAACTGCATGGTTCCCTAGGCACAGCTAGCATTGCCTCTGGAGTGGCCTATGAGCATCACTGAGTGTTGTCCAAATTCTACCCTGCCCCCACCCACCATCTCAAAAAAGATAGAAAAACAAAACAAGGGTATATAGCCTTTTAATTATGTGTATGTAAAACATCTCTGAAAACTTGGAGATAATTTTTCTTACTATTTCACTGTACTTCAGTTTCTTTGTAAATGGTGCTTTTAAAATGGAAATTATTGTCTTATGTTAAACATTAATCTTTCAGGGTTGGACATAAAGACATAAATCAAGTGGTAGATAACATGCCTAGTTGTGATTTGCATCCCCAGCACTGCATGGCGCCACAGCACACTATGCCAGCAACACAATTGTGTCACCTATAAAATAATTAACACTTCAAAATATTGTAAAACTAGGGGGCCAGAACTATAGTACAATGGGTAGGGCATTTGCCTTGCATGCAACCAACTTGGGTTCTACCTCCATTGCCCCGTATGGTGCCCCATGCCCTCCAAGAGTGATCCCTGAGTGCAGAGCCAGAGGTAAACCCTGAGCACAGCCAGGTATACCCCTCCCCCACCCCCCAAAAACAATATATTGTAAAACTAGAGTCTGAAATGCCTTTTAAAAGGTATGTTAACATTCCACCTAGCTTTTCTGAGTAATTATTAATATTGCTGCTTGGTGATAAACAGGCATCCAAGTAAAATTGTTCTTTCATAGAACAAATACCCCACCAAAAGCAGCCTGATTTTATGTGCCCGCCCCCCGCTGCCACCACACACACACACACACACACACACACATACACACACAAATAAATAATTGGCTGACATTTATGATGCTCAGTACCAAATGCATAAACATTGTGAGTACTCTTGGGCTCTTTAAGAGCCTAGCAGTGGTTGTGTGACCTTGATGAAATTCCTTCCTCTGGTTGTAAGTTCCTTTAGAAACTGAGACTTTGTAATCTTCGGTTTTTATACTTTATTTCAGGTATAGAAATTTTTTGGCTAAATTCTTAGGATTCTTATACACACACACACACACACACACACACACACACATTCCCTACACTATATAAAAGTCATATTTTAGTTTCTTTATATAAACTCTACTGCTGTATGTATTATAAGTCAACCAATTTTCAAAGGTTTTAACACATTGGAAATATCCAGCATTTCAGAATTTGGTGATCAGCACAGATGTATGAAAGGTATTGTTTTAAAATTAATTTCTACAGCCTCCTTTTCCCAATTTTTTTTTTTAATTTCAAGTCACATTTGCAGAACCTGACTCTCCTCCCTAGGTTCTCTGTGTTCCATGTGATGTATTTTGAAATTTTAGGATAGTGGCCCTTCTCAGATTTTTTTTCTATATCGAAGACTGTAAATTGCCCTTTTAGATTAAAATTGCTGAGTCTAATTCATATTTCTGATTTAAGACTTTCTGAAAATGAAAAATGTTGCTTTACAGATTTTTGGATCTTTCCAGTTAAACCCAATAATTTCTCCTCCTCTACCACCTTCCCTCCCTCCCACCCCTGCTAAATCTGTCACCTTTCAAGGAATCATTTAACAGTGAGCCTAGGGTCTTGCTATTTCCAGTATGAACTCCAAGACACTAACTGATCTACTGTGAAATATAATTTTTTATTAGCCTTATTAAATAAACGAGCACAGGTTTTTGCTTTCTCCATAAACCAGGTGATAGTTCTTTAGATGTAAATGTTAGGTAGGTTCTGATGTACTAATTGTACTAGTTGCAAATTTGTTTAATGTATACTTTTTGTATCCTGTACAGCTTTGACTTTTTAAAATATGAAGTATTTAAATGCGCTTAATATGATAGAAAATATAATGTGTGCCTTCTAGGATTTGTGAAATGATCATGAGCTCTAAGGAATTTGTTTCATAAGTTATAAAGTCTTCCCTATTCTAACTTAATAACAACGGGTTTACTTGTATTATGCTGTAGAACTTTAGTCTGAGAAAATGGATTTGACTATGTATTGTATTTAAAAATTGAGAATAATAGCATCTGTTTATTCATGGGACAAACTGATTAATGTGCAATAAATAATCTTTAGCAAGTAAATTTTAACTACTTGAAGATTTTTTCTTATGTAGTTTCACATTCATAAAACTAAATGTGTATTATATTCCTTAGAGGACTATTTTATATTTTACTCTTGATATTGTAATGTTTCTTTGCTATGTTTTAAAACCATTTTCAAATTAGACTTGATTTCCCTATACCAAATATATGTTTAAAGTACTAAGGTTGCTTAAAAATCACAATGATTTTTAACATTGGGAAATTGGATTCATTGAAAGTCAGTCCAAAAAATATTAAAGGCTTTTTTTAGTTAAACTTTGTCTATTTAATAATAAGAAAACTACTTGGAGATTAGGTAAAACAACTAATAACCCATATTTATAATGAGCAACAAGAAGACATTATAATATAAACAATTCACAAAATATTTTTATCTGTTCCTTTGTCTTTTTACTCAGATTCCACTATAGGGTAATTTTTATGTTTATCTTGTAAGATAATTCCCAAGACAGTGTAATTACAGAATAATCTCAGTATCTTAGGACTGAAAAGAAGAATGCCATTTATAAGAATGATTGACAGTTTATAATTAAATTTACTGACACATATATAGAGAGGGTGCTGGAGCGATAGCACAGCGGGTAGGGCGTTCGCCTTACAAGCGGCCAACATGGCCGACCCAAGTTCGATTCCTCCGCCCCTCTCGGAGAGCCCGGCAAGCTACCGAGAGTATTGGATATGCCAGACACAGTAACAACAAAGTCTCCAATGGAGACGTTACTGGGCCCGCTCGAGCAAATCGACGATCAACGGGAGGGCCTTTACCTTTACCTTTACCTTTATATAGAGAGGATGTTTAATTTTCTCAAGGGCATAAAATTCTCAGAGATGTTGATAATCTTTGTAGCTATGTATAATCTTTAATCCCTGCATCCTCTGTCTTTCAAATAAAATATTTATTTAGAATTTGAAGGAATAAAAATATCTAAATATCTGTGTTTACCTAACTAGTATCTTTTATTGCAGTTAGTTATACCTATTCAGGTATACAATATTTATATTAGCCCGGCAAGCTACCGAGAGTATTCGATATGCCAGACACAGTAACAACAAAGTCTCCAATGGAGACGTTACTGGGCCAGCTCGAGCAAATCGATGATCAACGGGAGGGCCTTTACTTTACTTACATATTATCTTTAGAAAAAGAGGAATAGTTTTTCACCAATGTAGCATTTCAATACAAATAGAGAAAAATATATGCTTTCTACTTTGCTTTAATCTAACATTAAAAGTAGATGGGCTGAAAAGATAGTACAGTGGGTAAGGTACTTGCATTCACATGGTTGACCCTGATACTATCCCTGACATTCCACCTTGTCCTCAAGCCTGCCTGAGTTGCAGAATAGGAGTAAACCTTGAGCATCATCAGGGATGTCCCCCTAAAAAAATTAAAGTGAAATGTTTAATAAAATAAAAGTAGAGGCTTATGATAAATCTTGGTTAGTACCAACTCAGGGACAGTAACTTGTTTTTGTGAGGCTAAGTTTTAACCTGGCTGTTCCTCGCCAGGGCCCCTTGGAGGGGAGCGGGTTGAGCTTTCCTCCCCGCCCCGACCAGGGCTCCGGCAGCCGAAGACCTCCAGGACCAGCCACCACCATGCTGAGACCACTCTCCGCACACATGAAGGTACTGGCAGAGGGACAAAGCCACGCGGGTTCCAGCCGCGCGACATCTTGTCAGGACATCTTTTTATGACATCTTATTATCTCATTCCTACTTTGGACAAACTTGCAGGCTATCGAATGTAGCCTGCCCACAGGGCAGAGTCTGGCAAACTCCCTGTGGCGTACCAAATATGCCAAATACCAGTAACAATGATGGGTCTCATTCTCCTAAAGAGCCTTGAATATAATCTCAGGGCTAGGATGAAAGAGACGTTACTGGGGCCTGCTCGAGGCAATCAACGAATAACAGGATGAGAAATGAAAAATGAAAAATGTTTTAACCAAATTTCAATAATATAATCTGAGTTGACATAGAATGTGAACTTCTAGAGCAAGTAAAGGGTAATATGCCTTAAAATAATGTTCTTTTAGAAACATGAACCAGTATACAGTTGCATTTGGTGCCATATACAAGTAAAAGAATGTAGGAATTCAATCCCTAAAAGGCCAGTTAGGTACAATGATATTATAAAAGTGTAAAGTGCTATATAAAAGATACTGAAAGGCCTGAAGAACAGGTAAAAATCGTACAAATGTTGACTGAATGCAGAGCAGAGCCAGGCAAGCTACCTGTGGCGTATTCGATATGCCAAAAACAGTAACAATAACAGGTCTCATTCCCCTGACCCTGAAAGAGCCTCCAATATAGCAGTGTTGGGAAAGACGAGTAAGGAGAGGCTGCTAAAATTTCAGGGCTGGGATGAACGGAGATGCTACTGGTGCCTACTCAAGTAAATCGATGAACAATGGGATGACAGTGATACAGTGATACAGTTGTCTGAATAGACTTAAGTAATATCTAGGGGAAAGGAAATATATGAAGTTGCTTATGATCTATAACAGCAAAAGTGAGTGAAAAACAAAGGTTTACTTTATGATCTGATAAGCTTCAGCTTGAAAATGTTTAGTTTCTCATGATGGCCTCTCAGGGTCTGTATTGCAAACCATAATGCCCAAAGATAGAGAGAGGTTATGGGGACTCATGTCTGCCATGGAGGCAGGGGAAGGGTGGGAAAGAGGGGGTTATACCCGGGATATTGGTGGTGGGGAATATGCACTGGTGGAGGGATGGGTATTTGATCATTGAAAGCTTGTAACTATCTCATGGTGATTCAACAAAATTAAAAAACCAAAAGAGAAAATGTTTAGTTTCTCAGTGAATAGATTCATGTCTGAATCTAAAGATAATCTAGTAGTTAATGATAACCATTCATAATACCCAATGAAAGTAAAAAACTTAAAACATTTTGCTTGAAATAGTTGTAACTTGAAATAGTTTTAAATTACTGAGCCATGGTCCTAAAGGATTTTATTTCATAATTAAAAACACATATTTGACACAGATAAAATGGCAATGAAAAACTGTACAATACTTAATTAGGGCAGATGTATACAAATGGAGACTTCAAAAATGATGCCTAAGATAAATGGTAGTTTTCATTCAATTTCATAATAAGTATGCAAGATTACATATTATGTTTGTCTAATAAAAAGACTACACTTAAAATTCCATGTGCTCACATGACAATGGAGGAGACAGGTATAAAGTCACAGGACAAGAGAATCTCAAATCAATGAAGCATTTTCTCAGGCAAAAATCAGGTTCTACTTGATAATGATTCAGGACTTCCTGAATTTGCCCACAGAAATAGGAAGATACTTGAGCAATTTGTTGAATATTCAGAACACATATCCTTAAAAAGTTGCCAAAAAAGAAATTTATTTAGTTTATATATGTTTATTGAGCACCCACTATGAACCAGGCACTAGTAACACAGATGAAGTACTTTGTTGAAGTGTAAAGTCAAATTGGTCTTTAGAAATGCTTTCTTATTTGCCCCTTGGACCCTGTCTGAGGAAGTGGTTCCTACACTTTATAGACTAAGGAAGTCTATATATTAGATTAAAAAGGAATTTCTCCTTTAAAAAAAAAATTCACAGGGTCACAGTGGTATAAAAAAAAAAAACTAACTGTTAGGCCTAATGGAATAGTGTAAGGAGAGGACTGGATTAGTAGAAAAACCTAATTCTAGTCCTACACTTAAAATTCCATGTGCTGTGTGACCTTAGGCAAATTTCACATCTCTGAATCTTAACTCTTCATAAGGAAAATAACTGGCCTACAACTATAAAAATTTTAGAAACAAGGGGAGTAAAGTTCATATAGCCATATACTTTGCAAAATCCTGGGTTCAGGTGAAAATTTGTCAACACCCCCATTATAAACCCGTTAAAAACAGAGTCACTTTGAAATAAAGACAGTACTCAGACCCTCACTTCACCCTCCTTCCTGACCCTGAAGTGGCTCCAGGAGTAAGACCCATAGCCATCGTTTGAAATGCATGCTTCTGATCTAAACCTTCACTTTCCAGATGAGGAAACCAAAATGTAGGAGAGATTGTTTTCATGTCCACATTTGATTTCCTAAATCGGGAGGAGAGCTAAATAAAATAGTTCATAAAATTCATTAAAAACATAAATTGTCAAGAAGGAAATTTTCTATTTCAATTCACTCAAGAGTAGCTCCTTTATGAAAGGGAGGTTTGAAATAGATTTTTAAGGCAGCCAGCCAGCAAGAGGCTGAAATGAACAACTACCAACCAGCCTGCAGGGCCTTTAGAGGCTGATGGCAGAACCACACAGACTTCGTGTCAGTGGGCATGAGACCATGCCACCTCCAAAATCTAAGCCCCCAAATGCAAGCCCTAGCAGTTTCAAGAGAAATATTTGGAAAATTAGGGATGAGTGGGACAGATAAGTGTCCCACTCCCAGATCTCTAAGGAGGAGTCATCTTCTTACTCAGAAATATTGACAGAAGAGGACATGTTAGACCTTAAAGTGAATAGTGCAACCAAAATCTCTAGTTTGAAAGTTCTTTAAAAGCATCCTCTTCATGAAGGAAAGTCCTAATTTGACCACTTAATCATAACAGACTTGAAGTTAAATGAAGAAGTTAAAATACATGTCTAATGCCAGACCTATACGTTAAGGTCTGTAATCTCATCTGATTTCATGGCGTCAGACAGGAAGCTGAGCTCATTGCATAGGGTCTCATAGCGGAATGCCATCCGGATCTGAGCAACATTTGTCTTTCGAATATCATTTCCTTCAGGTCCTTCTTTATAATAATTTTGTCCCAGAAATTTTTGCTTTTCCTGTGGATCAAAAGAGATACAAATAATAAACCTTATATTCCCTTATTTTACTCATATATTAGTTCAACATTAGCCACCGCAAATCAGACAAGTCAATCTAAAGCAGGTCCTCCATCAGGACATCTTTTCCCATAGACCCATTGCTCAGTTTCACTAGTCTCTGTCTCCTCACGGCTGTTGCCCTAACCACCGTGCTCATTCCATCCTTTTCTTACATTCTTCCTTATAGACAGGGAGCTGCAAGAGGTTTCTGTCAGTGGAGAAAGCAAGGAGAAGGCATCAAGATTCTACAAAGATCTTCCTGACAGCTGACAAAGGCAAACAGGCATTCCTGGGGAGTGTCAGTCCAAGGAACCCATACAATTCAGTGTTTAGCCTTTAACTCTTCTGTGTCAACAACCAAAAAGAACTGCCTCTTCCTGTACTAGTGACATCACCCAGGGAAGGTACACAAAAACCTAGTGTACCATCTAGAGCAGCATTCAATCTTTTTACACATGTGGACCAGTACCTGACTTGCATACTGATCCATGGTCTACCCCTGTCGATCATCACTGGTCCATGTACTGATGGTTGACCATCTCTGAGGAGTGTTTCCTAGCCCCAGCTCCTCATTAGAAATACCTGAAGCCATAAAAAAAATCCTGATGCCTAGTTTCTATCCTTAGAACGCTTTGTTTGATCTAAGTACTAGTTATCTATTCAAGAATTACTATGTGTCAGAGACTACTATCCCAGGCCCTAAAGATATACTGCAAACAAAACAGCCTTTGTGCTAAAGAAGGTTACATTCTAGAAGGAAAGAAGAAACAGACACAAAGACATAACTATATATTACAATGTAATTAGTAATAATTATTATGAAGAAAAAATAAATATAAGGAATGGAGAGTGATACGAAGTGTGTGGTTATTTTAGAATGGATGATGAGGGGAGAGATGACAGTTGAGTAAAGGCCTAAGAAGATGACAGAGCAGACATGGAAATGAAGGTGTCTCCCAAGATTCTCACTGAAGATACGTCACTGACACAGACCCTGCTTTCTCTGATGAGCTCAGGGCCTAAGAAGTGACTGACTCACAGAAGGCATTCATGGTACAGGTGTTTGAGGAACCGGAGGGACAAGGGGTACCACCAGCACATCCTTACCTGGTGTGAGAGGCCACTCTGGAGCACGCTGTTCCTGGCGATTTCACACAGGTCGCAGGTGCTCAGCTTCCACACCTGAGCTGCAATTGCGTATTCTTCCATAAGCGCTTCCTACCCCAACCCAAGCAAATGCATCAGATGGCAGAATATCCATTCCTCTGCTTCACATACTCCCAAGAGGAAGAAGCATCAGGCATAGGTAGAAGATTTGACTCCTATGACCCAGTGCCCTCAATGGAGATGCCGTCCTTGCTTCCTAGGACAATCTGCCTGGTGCCCACTTGCAGTGCCTGATCTTCAGCCTTGCATTTGCTGATGCACCGCTTTCATAAAATCGTCCCACAATAAAAGATCTGAATAAAGCATGAAGAACAGAGATGGCGCAATAAAGAAGATGGAGAGGTTATCCTAAGTGTCATCCCTAAAGGATTGGGTTTGGATGGTACTTTTGGTGTATCTCCTGGCATGAGAAATGTCTGACATTAGTCATGAGCTCTTTCATTACCTTTTCACCACCTCAGAGTCCCTAGTGCAGTGGTTCTCAAAATGTGGTCCAAAGATGCCCGGGGCTTCCCAAGACCTGTGAAAGTCCCTTCCTTTTCCATTATGTATTTTTAGGATAGAAGACAAGATTTTCTTTCCATACTAGAATAAAGTAAAATTTAAACAAAAATTTATTTCAGGGGCCTGAGAGTGAAAACTTTTGCCTTGCTCATGACCAACACAGGTTCAATCCTCTGCACTGCATATGGTCCTCCAAGCACCACCAGGAGTGACTCTTGAGCACAAAGCCAGGACCTTGAGCACCACTGGGCATGACCCCAAAACAAAACCAAACAAACAGAAAAAGCATTCCAGTAGATTGCAGAAGCAGATACAAGATCCAGTTGTCTTCTAGCAAGCCAGACATTAAAGATATTTGCAAAAATCTAAAATAATGTTATTCTGGAGAGATTTACAGCAGGTAAAGTGCTTGCCTTGCTCAGAGCTGATCTGGATTCAATCTCTGGCACCACATATGGTTCCCCAAACCTACCAGGAGTGATCTCTGAGCACAAAACTGAAAGTAATCCCTGAGCACAATTGGATAGGCCCAAAAACAAAACAAAAATTTAAAAAGTAATGCCATTCTCAGCACTTTTTCTTTGGGAAGTAATTTTTCCTAAGAATTGCTGCTTAAGTCAACATTAATATTATTTGTAAATTAAGTAAAGTAAAGACCCTCCCGTTGATCGTCGATTTGCTCGAGCGGGCCCAGTAATGTCTCCATTGGAGACTTTGTTGTTACTGTGTCTGGCATATCGAATACTCTCGGTAGCTTGCCGGGCTCTCCGAGAGGGGTGGAGGAATCGAACTCGGGTCAGCCATGTTGGCCGCTTGTAAGGCGAACGCCCTACCCGCTGTGCTATCGCTCCAGCCCAAATTAAGTAAGTGTCTTAAAATTCCTCAGTTACTAACTTTAATAAAGAATAGATCCACATAAGTCAACACTCTATGAGAGTCTCAGTTATTAAGAGTATAGAAGGGTCTTTATACCCAGAGCCTGGAGAACCTGCTGCAGAGGACCAGCTCTTCTAAGTGTGCAAATCAATAGCTAGACTCCACACCATCAAAATGCACTGGGGACCACAATGACTGGTCCTCATGCATGACATCACCCTTCCCTGCTTCTTCCCACCCCAGAGATCCAAAGTATAACAACAGTATCAAACGGTAGCTAGCATTTGAATATATGCTCTCTGCAGACACTCCATTAGTCTCAGTTTTTTTTCTTAATGCACCCTCACGGTGAGAGGTTGGCATAGGGACAATTGTGCCCAGTGACAGAGAGGAGCAAGATGCGGAGCGGTCATGGGGTGCTGTGGGGCCATCTCACCTTCGTGTAGTGGAACTGCATGGGATCATCAGTGGACAGCGAAACATGCAGCCCCTTGTGCAAGAACTCCCGCAGAGGGTTTTTGGAATATTCGAGAAACAGGCTGTTGTTGCTCAGAGGAGACATGGCAATGGGGATCTGGGCAAGGTAATAGAGATACTGCAACACCGGACTCTGCAAAACAGCCACCAAATTCATGTGAGCAGCATGGAGGGGGCTCGGGAGGGGGCAGAGGGCAGAGGGAGAGGGAGCAAGAGTAGACGCATCTATCAGAGGAAATCAGAGACCTGGGCAGGGTCTGGACAAACCTCTGACCAAGGTGGGGATCCCCAAAGCCAGGACCCCTGAATTCCCCCCAATTCTCTCACCTCTCTGCTCACCAAACCCCTCCCTCCCATGCCCATCCTTCCCTGGGGCTGTCCTGCTCAACCTTGCCAGGGCTTTCTCTGCACTCCAGACCACAGGGCAAAGCAGCCAGGCTGTGTGACCCAGTCCCAACCCCACCAGGCCAGGCTACAAGGTACCCCCTTTTGTGGTCTTGCTTAAACTGCCCACAGTTAGGCTGAGATACTCTAGCTCCTCAGAACTGAGAAGGGGCAGACATAACCAGCTACAGAAATGGGGTCCCTATTGTTAAAGACTGCTGTTGAAACATTGTATTCCTGAAACTTAATTGTGAATAATGTCATTCACGGTGAATTAATTTTTTAAAAAGGAGAATTAGAAGAAATGGGGCCCCTAATTAGGCCGTTGTAAGACCTGGCAGGGAGCAAACTGAGCAAACATGGTTCTGGAAATGATCCAGCCCAGTGAATACTCAGGCACAGCTCACAGCTGCACTGTTTGCTCCTGGGAGAGCTGGCTGGACTCCATCCCACACCTGGGCACTGAACCAGCTTAGGTCAGACCAGCCCAGGAAAATGCGCCTTAGGGGCGGGCAGATAGTAAAGCAATTAGGCATACATGCCTGGCATATAACAGAACCAGGCTCCATTCCCAGTACCACATGGCCCTCAGAGCCTCATGGGGTGCAGCCCTGGAGCCCCCCCCCCCACCAAGCCCCCGTCCCCAGCACTGCAGGGCCTGAGCAGCATTGCATCCTCCAGCCGGTGCATTGAACGGCAGACCCGACTGACAGAATCACTGTTTGGGACTTCCAGAGTCTCCTGAGCACAGCTTGGGAGCTGCCCTCCTCCCACAAAAAGCATGTTGGTCAATGTTAGGGACAAAGCAGAAATGAATTCTGTGATCATTATGATAAGTAAATTAAGAATATATTCGGGTTGGGCCAGAGTGATAATACAACAGGTAGGACATTTGCCTGCACGCAGTCGATGAGGGTTTGATCCTGGGCATCCCATATGATTCTGCATTCACCGCCAGGAGTAATTACTGTGTGCAGAGCCAGGAGTAACCCCTGAATACCACCAGGTGTGGCCCAACTCTTTCCCACCCCAATAGGGAAAAATATATTCTGGAGGAAAAGATGGGAATTGGAAATACTAAAAAGCTAATAATGACATGTGTTAAAAAAATAGTAATGAGCGGTCTACTTTAAAATCAAATTATGTCTGATGATATCCTTTCAGAATAAATCTAAAACAAAAATGAATGACCTTTAGCATCACTGGTCTCAGACACCAGGGAGTGGAATAGGTGGCTGTCACCTCTGGAGGAGTAGGGGGTCCCGCTCCCCGCCAGGGGGCCCAGGGCTGAGACCCACGGCAGGGCAGGTTGCCTGCAGTGGGCCTGGTTACCTTCTTGAGGAGCAGCCCGTGGGAAATGTTGTCAGCAGTGAGGAAAGCAGACACCAGGTGGGTGATGGAGCCCGCCTCTCCGCAGTGTGGCCGGAACAGGAATGTGCTCAGGCCTCGCTCCCTGCAGGAGAAGTAGGACTCATCAGGAAGATTCCTGAGTCGGAGCCCCAGGGCAGCAACTACACCCCTAGCTCAGGGCCGGTCCCAAAGGACTGTCAGCACGGCTGTCAGCACCGTGGACTCGGAGCACCCTGGAAATGACCCCACCCAAATCCCAAAATGCAGAGGTTCGGGCCCAGGATTCCTCCTGATACCACCCCCTGGGTGCAGGGTGGGGGCACAGTAGGGACACTTCCTGCCCTGCCCCCAACACTGTCCCCACCTTACAGCCCAGACCTATGGTCCTTCAGAAATCACCGCGCCCGGCTCTCTGTTATAAAAACAAGGAACCCCTGGTGTACAACCAGAGCACGGCAGCCGCTAGGCAAGTGGGCTGCAGAGCCAGCCCTAGAGCCCCAGTAACCATGAATTCGTTGGGACAGTCATCCCCCAGCCACAGGTCGTCTTCCTATCCTAGTCCCAGTTGGAACCCACAGACTCACACGCTGGGACCTGCACACCGAGTAGGGATGCGGGAAGGTTGCAGATGCGCAGGGCAGGGCACAGCCTCCGTTTCCCGGGTGTGCCCAGCCTGTGCGACCACTGCGCCGGGTCTCTAGGAGGGCCTGGGCCATGGGGGCTCCGTCCCCTGTGCCTGTCACAGACTGTGGAGAGGGATTTGTCAAGTGAACTCAGGCACTAGAGAGCACAGCGAAGGGGTCGGGAAGGAGCCACATCTGCAAGTGACGGTGCCCTTTGGGGCGTGGACAGAGACACGTGGGCGCTGGCGGGCAGGCACTGTGGACGGATCCACCCACCTGCGGAGGTTGTTGAGCACCATGATGTTGGCGTACATGTAGTACAGGTAGTAGCTGTAGGGTGGGTTCTGCTCACTGGTCCAGATGTCTGGGTTGGGGCTCTTGTCGGAGAACATGTGGTCGCTGTGCTTGGACTCATCATCCACACTATCAAACCCCGTGACCTGGGCGGAAATTGGGGGGAGGGGTTGTCCCGTATCAACCCACAGCAGATGAGCTGCCAAAGGCATGAAATCCAGGCCCGCCAGCCATCCCCGCGGACCCATCCCTCTGTGGCCCCAGCCAGGGCAGTGCAGCGGCAATTGCTGTGAGACGGCACAAGCAGGCCCTGCGCATGGACCCGCCACCGGTCCAGCCCTGCCTGGAGTCTGACCACACATGCGCAAATGCATTCAACACTCGGAGTGGGCTGGCCAGGGGGTGCTGAGCCTCGTTCAAGAACAGGAGCCCCTCTGCTCCCAGCTCCTCCCTAGGAGCAGCCCTGAGTGGGGCAGAGATGCCTCAGGATGTCCCCATTATGCATGCTGCTACCCCTCATCTGGCACCCAGTGAAGCCCCTCTGGGCAGCCCATTAGTTTACAAATACATCAAGGGGGCAGCGATGTGGTTGGAGTGGCAGAGCTCATGCACAGTATGTGCCAGGCCCCAAGTTCGACCCTCATCACCACATGCACCACCGCACCCAGCAATGGGCAGGGCCCTGGTGGTCTCCAGAACCCCAAGGGTGTGGCATGACAATATGGAAAGGGTACTCAGCTTCCTGGGCTGATGTATGTCCATGCCTGGGGCCAGGGGCCAGGGTCTGAAAGGGAAGCCTGACCTGACCAAACCCCGCCTCCTTCCGTTTCCCACCTCAGTGCCCCCACTGCCTACGGAATCCCCACCCTTGTGCTTACATATTTGAGGAACAGATGAAGCTCTCGGTGATCTTGGGGGTTGATAGTGGCCTCAAAGAGGGGCAGGAAGATGTTCTCCAGCATCTTCCCAAAGCTTGGCAGCAATTTCTTTGACCTAAATATGTCACTGGAGGAAGTAAAAATTTGCTAATTAAGGGAGACCCCAGAACTGTGATAAGCTTTCAGCATCTGTATTGCAAACCATAACGCCTAAAGGGAGAGAGAGAAAGAGAGAGAAGAGAGATGCCTGCCATAGAGGCAGTGGGGGTAAGGGGTGACTTGGAGGTGTGGGAGGGAAACTGGGGACACCGGTGCTGGGAAATTACACTGGTAGAGGGATGAGTGTTGGAACATTGTATGATTGAAACCCAATCATGAACAGTTTTGTAATGCTCTATCTCAATGGAGATTCAATTAAAAAATAATGATAATAAAGTTCCAGCAACCAAATGCTTTTGGTTATCTTAGTTCCATTTGGTGCTTTTAAACCATTTTCATGCTTGTAGACTAGCATCCAACTACACATGGGCATGTATACTAGTGGTTTAAACCCATTGCACTGAAGAGATTGTACAGCAGATAAGGTGCTTGCCGTGCGTTGCAGAAGAACAGTTTGATGCTCAGAACCAAATATGGTCCCTGTGTCCTGCCAGGAGTGATTCCTGAGCACAGAGTCAGGAGTAAGCCCTGAGCACCACTGGATGTGCCCTCCCCACCTCAATAAAAAAAAAACACCACTGCAGCAAACCAATGCTATCTCATCTTAGACCTGCAGGCCAGCTATTAAAAACCACCATGAAACAATGTGCCTGTCCACCGACCAATCAAAGAATGAGGTCCTGAGCCATACTGGGAAGCACCAGATACAGGCCACCACCAGGTCACCTATATTCTGGGGTTCACCCAAAAGGCCATCCTCCATCCCCAGTAAGAATAAGACAGGCAGTAGTGCCCCCAACCTCTGCACTCATTCTTCAAAGAACAGGGCTTTGTCTCCAAGACCTCTTTGCTGAAGAATCCCTGGCTGTGGAAAATCCCAGGGGAGGAGAAGACTATAGAAGGCACAAAAGTATCCCCCCTGCACCTAGGGGCGGGGCCAGCACCCACTAAGGGGAACTGGAGAGGCCCCCCTCACTTACTAGATCCGTGGCACCTGGATGATCCAGCGCATGTTGGGGGAGTAAACCTTGTGTTGGATGAACCAGCGCGCCAGGTTGGGCCACTCCTCAGGACTGCGGCCATAGATGGACAGACGGGGCTCTGAGTACTGGTACTTGCTCTCCTCCAGCTCCCTGGCCACCTCCTTGACACCGAGAGGAGCTCAGGTCAGCCCAATAATAGCATTCCAGCTGCTGGAAAGAACCCCCAACTCCACCCCCAACCCTACTCCTGCCCCTACCCTGTATCCACCACCAACCACCACCACCACCACCACCCACTGGATCCTGCACCTCCCTCTGTCCCTGTTCCAGCCTGGGAAGACCGATGTTTCCCTCCACTGTCTGGAGCCCTCAGTCTCGGAAAAATCTCCTTTCCCTAGGAGGCAGGGCTGAGGTCTACACTGCACAGCTCAGCAGAACCAGGCTGGGCAGCAAAAGGATCTCTGGGCAAAGCTGACCTGCATCCAGTCATGTTCAGACTCTATGTGGACAAGTGGGTGAGCAAAGGTGGCCAATATCAGCCTCACATGCTCAGGCCTGATGGTCAAGACCAGGGTACTCAGACCCTTGCCTAAGCTGGAAGGGGAATTCAGGGATTCAGGGAAGAGGAGGGGAGAGTGCCGGACAGGCACTCTTACCACCACCACCACCAACAACAACAACGCTTCCCAGTCTTGGAGGCAGACCGAGGAGGTTGAGGGCCCACTCACCTTGACCATCCGAGCGAAGTACTCTCCTCCCAGGTAGTTTTCTGTTTTCAAGTACAGGTCACGCAGCTCACTGGCCCCCACAGGGTTGTATTTGGAGTTGAACTTGTCAAAGCGGTGGAATGTTTGTCGGCCCTGGAAAGAGAGAACCCCCAACCCTCACTGTTCTGTGGTCATGGGCATGTCCCCTCTCCAGTCTTCACCACAGCACCAGATGTGCATGTAAGTCCAAGGGTCAGGACCATGGTCCCACACTGTGCAGCCCTGGGGTCCCTTTGGGAGGCCCACACACAGGGCCTGTAGAGCCCTTAGGAGCATTGTAGCTGAGAGAGCCCAACATCAATCAACTGAACAATCAGTCACAACCTGCTTCCTGTCACTGTTTGAACTTCATATGGCACCTTCAAAACTCACTTTTTTTTTTTGCTTAGTGGTGTAACAAATATTTCCCTGTTGTAAAAATAGACAAAATGCAACATTTACCACCTGAGACATATCTAAGCACATGGTTCATGGCATGAGCACATTCATGATGTTGCCCAACTATCATCACCTCCAGAGCACTTTTCATCTAGTAAAATAAACTGTAATCATTAAATGACCACTGGCTATATTTCTCATCCTGATCACCTTTCTGTCTCTCTAAATCTGCCTATTCTAATATTAGGAGAATCATTCAACATTTTCCTTCAGTGCCTGGCTCTCTGGTTTATTAGTATAGTTTTAAAGACTCATCCATTTTGTAACATATACCAGAATTAAAATTTTTTTGCCCCCAAGTTGCACGGCGAAGACCCCAGAATTTTAATTTTTAAGCACCAAAATTTACCCTATAAGTATGCCTGAAAATTTTAGCACTGAAATTTTTGGTATTTTAGTACTGAAAACACGACATGTAGCTCATGCATTCAACTCATCTGCTGATAGATGTGGATCACTTTCACCTTTTGGTCATAGTGAAAGATGTTGAATGTATTTAGGAGTGCAGCTCTGCTTAGTCCCAACTTTCAGTTCCACCTAGGGCAGAACTGCTGGGCTATCTAGTCATTATTTAACATTTTGTGTGAAATATTGTTTTTGACAACAGCTTCACTATCATTCGGTATGGTAATGTCTTTAGAATGTCAAGAACACACATGGTATTCCCCACTTTACAGCAAGGACATAAAAACAGAAGTGAGTTGCTACAAGGCACCTCACACTAATGTGGAATTTGAACTCAGACCTACCTGGCTCCAAGTGATACACCCTCTCACCCAGCCCCATGACTGTTCCCGGCCCAGTTAGTTCTTGAGACCAAATTACCTCCAACTCCACAACTAGAAGAGAAAGAGTGACCGACACAGCAGCACTTCTGCAGCTACAGATATGACTGGTCTCCAGGGGTGTCATGCCCCACCACCCCCAGCCCGAGTCAGAATTGCTTGAGGTGCCTTCTGCTGAGGTACTGAGGCAGGAACTCACTCACCGCATGGACGTCCAGTGAGTCCACGGTGAGGTCATAAGGGTCCATGTGCAGGCTATCAAACACCTGGCGCAAGGTGATCTTCCGGCCACACTTCTCCGCCACCGTCCTGTCTGGCTCCGTCTGGTACGTGTGCTTGATGAAGCGCAGCAGATGCTTCTGGTTCATGCATGCAGCTGCGTGGATGTGTGTGTCCACCTGCAGCACGGAGCCAACTGGACCTGTGAGCCGTGCACTGTCCCTCACTCAACCCTCCCATAAAACGAAATAGCAGAAGAACTGCCCAAATGTGGGTTGAATTCCCTTCTGGCCCCAGGACTTCAAGATAAAGCCAGGTCTCAACTTCGGGTCTCAACTCTAGCCTTGCCACCTCCTCCATTCTACTGACCAAGCACCATGCCGTCCCACCCATCCCCTTGCGCAAGTATTGCCTCAGCCCATGGTGCCTTCCTGCCTCCTTCCAATCTCCTCCTCCTGGATATTTCCTAGTCCCCTCTGCTAGGAAGTCATTCCAACACACAACCCAAATGGGAACCAAGTGCAGGCTCTCCTTTATTGTGTATATCCTGACCCCTGTACTCCTTCCCTAGACTGGGATCTCCTCAAGGTTAGAGCCCACATCTGACACACCTAAAGTCCCAGCTCCTACCTCCAAGCCTGGTACCAAATATTAGTTGAATGAATGGATGAATGAATGAACAAGTGAACAGATGGAGTAGGTTGTTCAAAAGTTTCCATGCCAACGCCATCTTCACACTGCTCTGAGGACCCTCTAAATTTTGCATGAAAGATCACTCTTCCCAGTGACCTCTCTTGGAACTCCCTGGAGTATCCCCAGTAGGCATCCCCCAACACACATTTTCTTAGCCATTTACATGACACACAAACGCCCCAGAATCCAGACTTGGGAAGCAGCAGTTTTGTGGACCCTAAACCAATATAGGGATTCAGGATGTAGGAACCAGGCCAAACATTTTAGAACAAATCCTAAAGAGCAGAAATGATCCCGGGCTCAGCCTTCCCTGCTCTCCCTTGAAAGGTAGCGGAGGGAGTTCTGTCAAATCTCACCGCTCCTTGTTGGGATGATTTATCACAACTATATCTCTCTAATACAAAGGAGGAACAGAATACATGACCTTATAAACACATGCCTTTAGTTTTAAATTATTTGGCATGTAGATAACTTTAAGCTAAAGGCAATCAAGGGACTAAAACCTCAGGAGAGATTTTTATCCCCTTACCCTTGCCTTTCATCCTGTTCCACGATGTATGCTACCACTGACTTAATTTCAGTGAAGACAAGCTAAATAGGGTAGACCACAGACTAAGAATAATGTGGCAAACAAAGCTTGATATTCAGATTCCTGATACCCCCTCCACCCCCCATCCAGCCATATTTGTTTAGCAAACATTTGGTCTCATTCCCTGTTAATTGCCTTCAGAGCCTTTGAAGTCCTGACTCCCTTCTCCCCAGTCCCAGATGGCATATGCTCTCCACAGTGCCTCTGTCTTTGAGATCTTTCATGCTGGTGCAGAATATCCACAACCTGTTAGTCTGAGGCTTTTTCAACCCTTCTTTGGCTGAAAGAAAGGTGGAGGAAGGTAAGAGGGAAATGTTTCCTCACCAACAACACCAAATAGCTATTTTTCCCTCTTGCCTCTCTGGCCTTTCCTTTTGGTCTCCTCAGTGACTTGTCACTACCAGTCCTCTCACTAACTGGAATTTCTGCAGGTTTGAACTGGCACCTCTTGTCCTGTCACTTATGTCCTCTCTCCAAAGGCAATCTAACTATCTGTGCTGTTATCTGCCTTCAGCATACCAACAACTCTTGACTTAAATCAACAGCCCATAGCTTCATTACTCAGGCCAGTGAATGCTTTTAATGTTTGATCCTTGGTACCACCAAACAAAACAAAACAAAGCAAAACAAAACAAAAACAAACTCCAAGGCTCCATAATTGTGTACATAACTGCAGCTCAAATGTAATCTATTCAAAAGCATTATCTCCATCTCCGGAGAGGATGCCCAAACCAGATAGTCTCCAGGCTTTCCACGTGTCAGGAAAGAGAAAATCTGCACCCCCTTGGTTCACGTGGAAATGTGGGAAGCATCATCAACCCTCCCCCTTTCCAACAGCTACATCAAACACCCCATTTAAAACAGTCCATCTACCTTTGGAGTTCAGATGCTCATAGTGTTGCCCAGTCTCGCTGTCATACTGAGTCCAAACCTGAAGGCTCCCTCCCAACCTCACACTGGCTTCCAGGCTGCTCTTACCACTGTTTCCTTTGCTCTGGTTCATTCATTCTCCATACACAGAAGTTAGAATGGATTTCTTTAAGGGCAAGTTTATTCTGTTACTAACACTAATCTGAAGATTAGGGCCTATTAAAATTATTATTGTTACATAACATAACATAACATAATTATTAGTTCCCACTCTCATTTTTACTCTGCTCCAGTCATGGGATTTCCATTTGCTTGAGTGTGTCACCCACCCCTCAGTCACCCTGCAGAGGCAGGGCCCTAACTAAGAGGATGCATGACCTGAAGTCATAGTGGGTACCAGACTCCCCTTCCATGAGCCTAAAAGAACTAAGGAAAATCCCCAGGAAAAAGAGTGACAGCCTCCAGGCCTGGTGCCACCAGTCATCAGACTACATTCAGAAGTGACCACTGTGCCAACTGGTCACTATGCTAAGGTCAGAGGCACTGAGCCCTGTCTATGGCTAGCTAGGCATCTCCAAGACAATGGCAAACCAGTCATTTGGTCTGTAAATCTCTGTGAATGTCATACCAGCCAGCCCATGCTGTTGGCTACATCACTCATTCACTGGGATCCTTGGTGCCGTCCATCCTACCTCTGCTACCAGAGATAGAACAAAAGACATTTAAAATATGAAATAATTCAGTGAACCTAAAACTGAAAATCACCTAAAGCACAGTGTAATGGCTCAACAACTCAGGGCTGGACTGGGCTGGGCACTTGTGTGTACACAGGAGAAAGTCAGACTGACTTACTATTACTAGGCTTGGCTCAGCTACTCAGCATGACTCAGCACATTCTGGCTTGCTGCTTGCTTTCTCTCACATACCAATAATACACCACAGGGGTGCAGCCTGTCCTTACCCCCAGAGTCACAAAATCAATTTGGATAACACAGAAAGCATCCAAAGCACACTTCACAATCTCCAAGAAGATGGTTTCAGGAATAAGTGTAAACAACAATGATTAGATGTCAGGTTTCACAATTCATCAGAGGGTTGAGCTACATTCTTATTTTTACCAAAAATCCAGGTTCAGACAAGCAGTAGAGTTTCCAAGCAAGCCTGGCCAATTGCTGGTCTCCAAGCCAGCACTGGCAACTTTCATATCCTCAGCAGACATCAATCATCAATGACAGCACTTTCACCAAGCCCCAGGGTAACCTGATCCAATTTGGCCCAGAAGATAAAACTTACTTGCTTTCCCTAATGTGACACTCAAATCAAAGCAGAAAAAATTTGATCTGACCCAGCTTCCATACTACAAACACAGATAGCCCCCTCCATTCTTAGTTTGGAGCAGTAAACAACTTGTCTGTTACCCAGTCCTGACCAATGGGCCTCGGGGTGAAAACACCCAAGGCCCTTAGTGATGTCTCAGTTTCACAAGTACCACCCACATAGACCCTGGACCATACCCAGGTCTTGCCTTCAAACTTAGGCCTGGACTGGCCCCAGTGATAGCCACCTGGAAGTATGGAGACCCTTCTTCCAGACCACCATGAATTCTAGAAAGCCAGCTCTGCTCCCATGGGACAGGCCCTAAGAGTCAGACAAAGCTGCTAGCAGCCAGGAGGCAGGGAGGGGCAGACATAGGCTGACTCACAGCTGACTTGGTCTGTGTTCATGGACCAAATGTGAAGGCTGAGAACAGCCCGAGGGGCACCGAACAGGGTCATGGCCACTTCTCAGAGGGCATAGACACACAGAGACTTTCAGGGAACCCTGGAATATAATCATAGCACCCCACTACCCATCTCCCACAGAGTGGCCAGAGAGCATCTAATTCATGGTACAGCTACCCTGCTGAGGTCCTGCCATAGATACAGGCTGGATCGGAGGCAGTGCTCAGTTGGGTCAGGCTGGGTGTTCCCACAAGCAAGGATGGGGTCACATGGGAATGCCAGCATTTCCTTGCTCCACTATGTAGACTCGAGCTGGGTACATGGAATGGAGATGGAGGGGCTACGGTGTGAATGGCCACCTGTTGGATACCCAAGGTCGGGCTGCTTAGGCAGTGGTTTCTAACATACATCCTTTTGCCTGCCTGGATCTCCCCAAGGCACTTCTGCATCCACCCAAGAAATGAATTCAAGCTCTCACTCCCAAAGCTGTGTATCCCACACATGTCAGAGCCCCTGATGCTAATGGGGGTTGTGTGGAGGGGTCTTCCCCTAGCATTGCTGGAGCTCCCAGTCAACTGGTCTGGGTATCCTGAGCTGGGTGCCTCCTTTCCCAGAGGAGCCCCCACTTCTCCCTTAGCAAAGCAGACCCCAGTGTTGGTTGTGGGGGACAGAGTTGTCAGGGTTCTGCATCTGAAACAGAAGGCTCTGTCGGGGTGGTGCTAATCTCAAGGCCACAGTGACCAGGCTGGAGTGTAGCCCTTCCTTCTTCAGCAGAGCTGAGTGCCCACCTTCTCCCAGCTCACTGCTATATCCCAGTCTGTCTCCCCTGCCTCCACTGAGAAACCCAGGTTCTGCCTGCCCAGAACCTCACACACCTCAGCAGGCTCCTCTCCCCCCACCCACCAAATTCTCCCCGACAGCTGAGGTTCCGAACTCCTCACGATCTCCTTCCTCTTGCCACACTCCTTCCGCTGGTGTGACATGCTGGGCCCCTTTGCAGGTGCGAGGGGGATGGGGGGGGGGGTGCTAGCAGTCTCCTTTCTTCACCCTTCCCCCTGACTAGCTCACTCCCACTCTTTACATGGGCTCAGTTCAAGCCTCTTCCCCAAAGCCACCAGCTATCACACTAACCACATGATAGAAATAAATAAGGCACTTCTGTAGACAGGAAGTGACTCTTATTCAACATCAAACTGTGCTGAGGAGGCAGTGCAATAGAAAAGCGGGTAAGGCACTTGCCTTGCACACGGCCAATCCAGGCTTGATCCCTGCACTATGTGTATTTCCCCAAACCCAACAGAAGTGATCCCTAAGTGCAGAGAGCCAGGAGTAAGCCCTGAGCACAGCCAGGTATAGTCCCAAAACAAACAAACAAACAAACAACAACAACAACAACAAAATTCAATTCCCCATACTGAGCATGAATTCCTGTGCTCGGCTGCGGCTGCGTATTTACTAAAGGGAAGAACAACCAAAAGCTGAAGGCTATGACCACAGCTTGACTGTGGACCACCAAGCCCAGGCCAAGGCTGTGTACCCACCCAGGGGAGAACTGCGCACTGAGGGCTGAGCAGGTTCCTTAGACACGCCTGACCTTGGAAGAAGCAAAACCTTCTGTGCATTCAAATCCAGAGGGGACTGTTCCTCTCCAGGACAAATGCAATAGAGCACCTACCTGAAAATTCACCTGGCCTACTTCTAAGGCCCCCACACCAGGCCACGCCCTGTTTGCCAAGAAAGGAAGCACATTCCAGCAGGCTCCTGGCATGGACAAAGGTTTCTGTTTGGAGATCAGGTAGCTGACTTGGGGCCCACCTGACACAGAAGGCCAACCTGCCAGGCTTCCTTCCACATAGGCACATGGCACTCCCCTGCCAGGCCGGGTCACACAGGGAACTAGCCCTAGGCTGGGTCAGTTGTGTGTGTGTGTGTGTGTGTGTGTGTGTGTGTGTGTGTGTGTGTTTTAGAGGCAGGGGACAAAGGGGAGGGTATGTAGGTCTAGAAGGGGGTTTTCTGACCACTGACACCCCTAACGCACCTTTCTCACATTATAGAAGTCTCGGTGGGGGTTACTCTTCAACTCTTTAAACTCGGACATTTCATTTAACATCTCATGAAGGCTGAACTTGGATTCCAGAAAGTTTAGTCGCCGGTGACAATATGTTTTCCTGCAGGTTGGGAAGGGGGAGAAAGCACATTTGAGGAGATGTTGCATCCAGCACTCCAGCTTGGAGACCTCCAGGGTCGTTGGGGGTGAGGGGAACCCTCGAGCTTCCCACAGACTTGGCTGAGCTGTGTGACTGCCCCTGCATGCTCAGGAAAGTGAGCAGAGTGGAGAAGGGGCAAGAGGGAGCTGAGATCTCTGACCAGTTTTTGCACTTATAGGTTCCGGTGCTTAAGAAACTGACCCTGAGCCTCCTCTGGGCCAGACAGAGGAAGTCAGCTGCCTCGGGTTGGGTCAGGCCTGTGAAGGGTCCACTGCGGCGTGTAGAGGAGGCCAGTCTCCCCTTCTTCATCTCTTCTTACTTCCCTGCATCTATCCTCAGCCACCCTGAGTCCCCTAGCAGGATCAGCAATACAATCCAACTTTGAAGGCACGCCCTCCCCACCTTTGCATGCCAAGGGTATATATACCCTACCCTAACCCTGTTCCCAAGCTTCAAGACTAGATGCTGTGCTTTGTGGGCAAAGTAGAAACTCAGGGGTATTTGTTTATAAGGAAATCTCCAGGGAAGCCAAGCACCCATCAGCCCATGATGATGCCTGGTAGAAGACTATCTACTCCCTGTTCTCACACAGAACCCTCAGCCACCCAGACCCCATGAATAGCAGCTCCCTCAGCATCTGCTCACCCCAACTTTTATAAAGAGCAGCTGTGCCCCTGAACACACCAACTTCAGAACTTAACTGAGCCTCAGAGTCAAGCAGGAGTGGTTCAGCAGCACAGAGATGTCAAAGAGAGGTTCCAGCTCACACAGCCAGAGCCTCATCCTTCCCCAGGTTTGCTGGTAGCCTTTCTTCCCAGGGGTTAAGGGCAGCCTCCTCACACTACCGTCTCCTTCCAGCTTCACTCAGTTCCCCCAAACCCATCAGTGAGACCCAAGGCCCTGACACCCAGGCCCTGGGCCCACGCTCCTCTCCTCAGCCTGGCTCCACACTCATTCCTATCAAAACCCAAAGGTAGGAAAGATAAAGTGCCCCACATTCCTGTCCTGGCTGGCACACCCAACATAGCACTCAGGGCACCCAGTCCAGGCTTCACTCTCAGTGGCCCGCTGCAGTGCCCACCAAAAGTCAGAAGATAGCTGCCTGCCAGGTGAGTGGAGTTGGGCCACATGGGCCTCAGGCCTCATGGTGCTCTGATATATAGTCCCAAGCTCCCTTCTCTCCCCTCCGAAAATAGGAGGTCCTGATACAACCACCTTTGTCACCCCTCTCCAGCCCAGGGATGCCCAGGGCTGGGAACCCTGCCTGGGAAGCAGGAGGACAGTCATTCTCAGGGGCGCAGGGGACCACCCACCCACAGAAGCTGCATGTTAAGGCATGCAGAAGGGACCTGCAGCACCAGCTCTAAGACTCTGCAGGCCTGCACTGGAAAATTGTTGCAAAAATGCACAAAGCACTGGGGAAAGGAGAAACTGCTCTTTGTGGGGAGACTGACACGCTGGAATACCCAGAGCAAGAGTTTGGTGGGTCTTTCCCAGGCCCTGGGCCCACACACCTCCCCTCAGCCTGGCTCCACACTCATTCCACACACAAACCACAGAGGCAGGCAGGGCCGGGCTCTGACAAAGGGTGGGCTTACGTGGGGCCATCTGTGATGAGAGCCAAGATGTGGCTCATGTCCACGGTGTAGGTCTCCAGGTCGGGGTAGGGAAGGCTGTGGGGCTCTTGGTGCTCCAGCATTGTCTTGTCATCATACACGAAGAGAATGCCCCCCTGCATTCGGACCAAGTAGCCCAGGTTGGGGGGCGCATCATCCAGACAGTAGGGGTCTTCCTGAGGTTTTGGGGGAGGGTGGAAGTCTGCAACAGGGAATAGAGTGACGGCAAAGTGCCCTTGACCTTCTGAGCACAAGTGGGCTCCCAAGTTACATCCTGATGAGCTGGTGCTGGTTAGTCTCCTCACACCCACCCACCCCTGCCAGGCACTGCACCTCACTTGCCCTCCCCTGCTTCTCCTTACCCCTCAGCACTAGGTAAAATGATTTCATGTCTTTAAACACAAGTTTGATTTGCTCATTACTATACCCGCAGTAGCTAGAATACTCCCTGACACATGGCATCCACTGTAAACAAAAGCTTTTTCTTTTAAAATTTATTTAGTGGATGAAGTGTTGGATCATCACACCAGGTAGTGCTCAGAAGTTGTTCCTAGCTCTATTCTCCGGAGGAGTAATCCCAACAGTGCTCCTACGTGGTACCAGGGATTTGAACCAGAGTTAGGACAGCTATCAAGAGCCTTGCTTCATGTACTATCCTTCCAGGCCCCCAATCAAAAAAATTTTAATAGGCAGTGGGGATAGAGGTATTCTGGGCGAATAGTGCTCAAGGCTTATTTCTCACTCTGTGCTCATGGGCAGAGCTGGTGGACCCACGCATAGCAGAAAATGCCTTTTGGCTACTTCCCAGCTATGAGAATTGAGCCAAGCACTTCACCTCTCTGTCCCCGCCTGCTTACCTGTGGGAAGCATCACTGGTCTTACCCAGTGGGCCGACGTGAGGGCCTCAATAGTGGGCTGAGGGTAATGCTTTGTGAATGGTAATGCTCAACATATGAATCGCATACCCACCTCTCTTCTAACAGGCTTTCCTGAGTCTGGGAAGTCCTGTCTGTGCACAAGGAGCAGGTTATAAAAATGACTGTAAGACTGAGGGCATCAACTCCACACCTCAACTGACCTCAGTGCACAGGGCAGTTGGCCAGCTGCCCATTTGGACAGACAGAAACCCTAGGAGCCTTGCCATCAGAAGACAGCAACTTGGGCAACTCTGGCTGTCCCCATCAGTGTTCAGAACAGACCAACTTGTGCCAGGATAGCACATGCCCCCATCAGACACAGCCACGGGCAGCATAGGACCCCTGAAAGCATGCCAACAGCTTGTAAGTCAAAGGTGGGGGGCAGAGTGCAGGATGCCACCGCCCCCACAGCCCCTGTTACGGATAAGGGACACATCTGGCTATCACTCCTCACCTGTTTTTGCCAAAACTGGGGGCAAAAGTGGTCGACTTCCCCGCCACAAGGAAATGTGCCCAGAGGGCTGTGGTCTCTCGGTTTCAGGTGTCACAAAACCCGCCTTGTTCTTGACACCAAGTGTAGGGGCTGGTTCAGACTGTGGGGCGCCAGGCTCGGGCACGTGCTCAGACCCTGGAACCTCACCACCCTGTCAGAATCCATATTCACCCTCCTCCCTCCCCTGACAGCTCTGCTTGTTCTGGGTCCCCTCACAGGCTGCACAGATGCCTGGGCCCCTGCTCTCCCCAACTCGAGTCACACACCCAGACTGCCATTTGTCAAATACTCCCTCAAGGCCCCTTGACGTTAAATGCTTACTTGATGCCTCTCAGCGTTAAATGCTCAAAGTCCCTCCATATTAAATACTCACTCATTGTCCCTTAGACTGCACTAAAGGCACCCCAGACATTTGAACATTTAATCGTCACAACAGGCCCAAGAGATAGACACAAACAGACTGACAAACAGGCTGGAGAGAGGTGGCACTTAGGCCTCAGGGCAGATGCATTTAACCCTCCCACAGCTGCAGGCGTGCCCTCTGGGTCTCTCCCTACCTGCCCTGGCCCCAATGCCACTTCTATTGTCTGATCCCAGGGTCTTAATAGCCCTCCAGACACAGCAGACTTCTAAAGTCAAGGACTGTCTTTCCTCTGCATCAGTTTCTTCTCTCTCTCTCTCACTCTCTCTTTCTCTTTCTCTCTCTCTCTCTCGCTCATTCAGTCTCTCTCCCTCCCTCTCTCTCTCTTGCTCATTCGCTCTCTCGTTCTCTCTCTCGCTCTTGCTCTCTCCCTCTCTCCTTCCTTTGATTATATTTATTGGCCACACCTGATAGTGCTCAGGGCTTACTCCTAGCTCCATGTTTGAAGATCACTCCTGGTGGGGCTTGGGCTACCATATAGGGTGGTAGGGTTTAAATCCTGGTCAAGGGATAAAATCCAGGTCAGTCTCGTGCAGGGGCCCAGGCACCGGTGCAGCCTGTAAGGGGCCCCACCTGTCGTGCTATTGTGCATCTCTTTTTTTCTACAGCTCAGCTCCGTCTGTGGTGATGTGGCCCCACAGGGCCAGAGAAGCAATCCTCAGGGAAATCAGAAAGTACCAGAATTTAGACCTTCTGTCTAAATATTCATCTGGAGGACACATTCAGTGAGTATCTCGACCAAGAACTAAGCCACGCCCCCTGAGTACCCCTATTCCCCCTTGCTAGTTCATACCTGGAAGACCTTCTTCTGGGGATGCAGTGTCAGCCCGCCGGTGGCCCAGGTACTGAGCTGTGGTCCGCGGGAAGCGATGGTAGGCAAGCCGGGCGTACTTCTCCCGGATCTTCAGAGCCTTGGCCAGGCTCTTGGCCGCCTGCTCATAATCCTCCAGGGTGATCTGCAGAAAGGAGTGGGCAGCAAAGTGATCAAATACACGGCCAAAGAGCGCTGGTCTTAGCAAGAGGTTGGCACTTGCACAACAGCAGGGAATATGGGTTTGGGGAGTGCCCCCCCCACCCCACCCCATCTGTCTGGTAAGAGCAATGCACTGTGTGCCACAATTGCAAAGATGCTGTGGTTTATGGGGAGTACCTGAGTGTCCCTGGGGAGTCTGGGATTTGAGGTGTGCGACATCTGTGGGTGTGAAGGCCAACCCTGTGAAAATTGGGGGGCTGAGTTTCTCAGGAGCCACCACCATGAACAACATTTGACAATTTGTCACAACCAGCTGCTGGGGTCTAGAGACTCCACTGGAAAGGGTTCTGGAGAGCTGAGAAGGGGGGGGGGTCCCTCCTATTGCTCCCATGAGCTTTCCTCTATGCAGAATTTCCTCTGAATCCTTTCTCTGCAAATCTGCATCATGAAGACAGCTCCGTGTGGGATTACAGGAGTCTTCCTAGTGAATCACAGAACTCAGGGATGGTCCTGGGGGCCCTGACATAGAAGAGATAGGGTTGCCAGTCCTAGAAACATGGGGGCAGGGCTACACACTCCAAAGCCAGCCTCATATCTGCTGATTAAACCACCTACATGAGAAGACAGAGCCTGCGTCCTGTCCCTGGTCGGGTGAGCACCATTATTCTCATGTGAAAAATACCGAGATTGCCTCAGAGAAGCCGGGTACTCGCAGAGAACCTCTGAGCTGCACCTGCTGGTGGGCCAATGCCAGGCTTCTGAGTCCTACTAGTCAGCCCAAAGCATAATGACCACAAGCTGTGTTACACACCTGGCATGTATTATATGACCAGCCCTTTCTGGAGACTCACTGTAACCCACTTTACAAATGGGGAAACTGAGTCCTAGAGAGAATTATACATCCTTCCCATGCAAGTCTTTATACTTGTACCAAATGCTCCTCCTTGCTTTTTATTAAGGAGGTAACCTTTCCTTTCCCACCTTCATGGTCCCTGGGTCCATTTGTTCATTCCATTTTACACCTTTTATTGGTGGCTTCTGGAAACAGTGGGAAGAGGTAAGCATCTTAGACAAAAATCTGACCCTGTCAGTAACAAAGGCAAACACTGTCTGTGGAACGTATGGGATCAGCAGGGGCTCCATGCCATGGCTAAGGCTATCAGAGAGGGGCTCAGGATCCCAGTGAAACCAGTGACCACATACCCACATGTAGGCACTGAGACGCTCATGCCCATGAATATACCCCCTGGAAGATGAGGTCATCTACAGAGGAAGCCTAAGTCTCACATACCTCTAGCTCTCTGAAAATTAACTTCCCAGTTTATGGGCAGCAATGCCCCATGACACACCTGTCATAAGACTGGTAGAAAAGTATGTTAAAACACCAGGCCAATGTCCCCTCGCTGAGCTGGAGGTCAGCCACTTTAATTGAACCCATCTACTATCCTGCCTTAGGGCTGGAGCAATAACACAGTGGGTAGGGCGTTTGCCTTGCATGCAGCTGATCCAGCAGATCCGAGTTCAATTCATCTGCCCCTCTTGGAGAGCCCGGCAAGCTTCCAAGAGTATCCCACCTGCACGGCAAAGCCTGGCAAGCTACCCGTGACATATTTGATATGCCAAACACAGTAACAAGTCTCACAATGTTACTGGGCCTGCTCAAGCAAATTGATGAACAATGGGAGGACAGTGACAGTGACAGTGACTATCCTGCCCCATGCCTGAGGCCAGGTGGACAGTCTGAGCCCTGCTCAGGATACTGCATCTTCAGACAAGACATATGCTGTTCCCAACTCAACAAAAAACTTCCATCTATATGAGCTGAAATAACAAAGTATATCAAAGTATATCTTGCTAATTTAGCCACACAATCAAACACTATGAACTACAAAAAAAAATAATAATAAAAATGCAATAACTGGGGAGATAGCACCCACTTAGGGATGCATGCTTTGCATGTACAGCCTCAGTCAAACCCAGTACTGCATGGCCCTCCATGTTTTGTCAGGCATAGCCCTAGAGACTCCCCAAGGACTGGGGGCCCAGGTGGCACCACATCCTCAGGTCTCTGCATTGAGTATGTGGCCTGGTTGGTTGAGTGTTGCTGGTAGTTCCCCAGCGCCCCCCTAAGCTCAGCCTAGGACCCCCCCCAAAATAAAGAAAAATTTAACTCTTTAAATTTATAATTTCTTATAAAGAAAAATTTAAATCCAAAAATAATATTTTAATATATTGATATAGCATTACCTTAAGTAAAGCAAAACACAAAGGCACAGTACAATGTATAGTATAAACTATCATATGAGCAAAAATAAATAAACTCTATATTCATACTTAATTGGAAGCACATAGGTTCTGTGAGAATACACAAGAAACCAAAATCAATTCTGAGGAGAGAAAGTGGATGAGGTCTGTATCATTTAAATTTTATACCATATGCAAAGGTTTTGTCACACACAAAATTTAAAATTTAAAGCTAGAATGAAACTGATGTGTGTAAAATGCTTTGCTTTCTGAGATACATGCTGTTTTCTAAAATTAATGTTAATAAGTAGAGAGAGGACTGGAAGATAACTCAAGAGACATGAATGCATTCTTTTTATTATGGTTGTGGGGGGAGAGGCCTCACATCCAGCATGCCAAGGACTTAGTCCTGGATCTATATTCAAGGATCACTCCTGGCAGGGTTCAAGGGACCACATGAGGTGCTGGGGATCAAACCCAAGTAGGCAATGCAAGGCAAATTCCCTACCTGCTGAACAATAACTCTGGTTCTCATGAATGTATTCTTATATTCATTTGCACTGCACTGCACTGTCTTCCCGTTGTTCATCGATTTGCTCGAGTGGGCCCAGTGACATCTCCATTTTGAGACTTGTTGTTACTGTGTTTGGCATGTTGAATACATCACTGGTAGCTTGCTAGGCTTTGCTGTGCGGGCAAGATACTCTCTGTAGCTTGCCGGGCTCTCTGAGAGGGGCGGAGGAATCGAACACGGCTCGGCTGGGCTGGCTGCGTGCAAGGCAAACACCCTACCACTGTGCTATCGCTCCAGTCCCTTATATTCATTAAGTCTCAAATTTGATCACTGAAAATGCATGCCCCGTCCCCCGAAGCACCAACAGTTGAGCCCCCCCATCCAGCACCATTACGGTGGCCTGGTACCACTGGGTACCACAGAACCACTGGGTCCAATTTGCACCTCATGGATAAACCATAGCAAGAGACAGTCTGCCCAGTTACCAAGTGTCACCAGAGAAGCCCCAGACCCCTTACCCCAGCCTGCACTGTTTGGGAGATTGGTGGAGGGAGGGGTGGGAGAAACAGAATACCAATGCTAACTGAGACAGAAGTAGTAGGTTGAGAGCCATGAGTTGGAGCCAAACTGAACCCTGACACTAACTTAGTGGAAGTTCTTTTCAAGCAGTACACCATCCAAATGGGCAAAAATACCCATTTGCCATAACTGGATTAATCACCTGGGAGCCGGGGGGTGGAGGTGGAGGTGGGGGTAGTGGGGAGCTGTCCGAGTCTGTGTTTAAGACACTGACCTAAGCCCATAGGAAAAGCAGAATCTGCAGTAATTGGTTTCAAGCAAACCATCCAAATGCACGACTTTGAGTCCATTCACCCTGGAAATCACAACTGTCTGCAGGCAGAGAGGAACTTCCAGATGATCGGGAATTTATAGGCTGGGATCCAGATACCAGCCAGATTTCCCCCAACACTCCTCTCCCCGCACATACAACTTCAGTTAGGAACCCCTCCCCCTCTCTTACAGACCCCCTACAAACTAAGCCAGGTGTCCCCAGAGTCCAAGAGGCCTCAGCATATACACACTCACAAGTTTACATACACACAAACACACACATACACACGCAGACGACACACCCACATATATATATACTCACACAATATGCACACACACTCATATATACACACTCACACACATGCACACTCATACATTCACAGTCACTCACACATTTACTTACGCGCACACACACACACACACACACACACAGTGGGGTGGGAAAGGCCTTACCCCAGCACAGTAGTCCCCGCTGATGGTGACCCTCTGGAACTCGGGCATGGCATAGGGCCCTGGCGTGGGCTGCGAAGCAGTGCCCGTGATCACAGGGGTTGGGGGAGACATGGCCGGGCTGGCTGTCGAGGGACCCTTCCAATCTGGCTGTGTCGTCGGCATTTGCAGAGACAGGGACTGAGACCGAATCATCTTGAAACTTTTCTTTCTAAAAGCAAGGGAAAAGGGGAGACAACATGAGCAGAGGATGAGGGTCCTTTGTTACACTCAGGGCAGGAGGATTTTGCTGAGCCCACTCCTGCTGGCCCTACCATGCTGGCCGGGGCACACAGCCTCTTTGTGCATCTCCTCCCATACATCCTTAGTGAGATACGAAGCAGACATGAGTGACCCAGCCCTGCAGTCACACAGAGAAGGTGAATGCCTCCGGAGAGAGGGCAGAGCCCACTGCAGAGTTCTTGCACTGGAGGTCAAGAGAGGTGAGAACAGAGCGAGGGCGAATAGCTAGGACTTCCCATGTGCATGCGCACTGCATGCTCTCAGCAGATAACCCCAATCTAAGCCCCAGCAGGTCAGCAGCCTCAGGAAGGGCTATGAACCGCCCCAGACCGTCACGCTGGGTTTCCCAGGCTGAGTGGGCCCGGAAGCCAGGAGAGAACATGACCATCCGCTAGCCCCACCTTTTTGTTTCATAAAGGAGTCAGGGATAGTGAAAAGCCTTTGCCAAGTTGCAGGGCAATGTGGCCAGTCCTCCTTCTCCTCCTCCCTGGTCTCTGTTCTGCCCGGCCCCTACAGCTCTTTGCTTCAGTCTGACTTGGGTCACCCGGGCTGACGCTGCCAGGCAGGCACAAATATGCACATATTTGGGGAAAGGGATTGCTCAGAACCAACTGCTTGTCCCTCTGGACCTGTCAGCACTCCACCAAAGGATGACTTCACAAACTGTTGGGAAAGTGGGCACAAGGTTGGTTCAAAATGCCACAAGCACATTTGCAAAGCAGATTTGCAAGCACAGCCTTATTGACTAACGTCATTAATTAACATTTCTAATGCCAGCAGAAATGCTGACAGGGAGGCTGCCAGCACTCTCTCCCCTGTTTCCTTCCACCTCCCCTGGAGCCCAGACCCCAACTTTGCCTCTGAGCAGGGTTCCCTGGCAGAAAACAGCTGACCTCATGATCCATGTGGTGCCAAAGGGCCCAGCTGCCTCCTAGATATTGATCCCGGCAACCCAGGCCTACGATCACCAGCAAAGATCTCAGTGACAAGCCCACAGACATTCTTGTCTTCTCCAGGCACCAGGAACGCCTTCAAGGGGTGGAGAAATCTGTGGCTCCCCAAATGAGCCTTATTTTCTTACTCACCTGGAAGCAACTGTCTTCCTCCTGGCTCTGGGCCAAGCCACTTCCCAAAACCCACTCTGGGTGCAGTAACCACAAGCTTTCCAGAAATATACACTCACCACTTGCCAAGGCTCTCTGGCCTTTATTTGTCCACCTGCAGCATCACATCCTCAGAGACAAAGCTGTTTGCCCCTTGAAAAAGGAGGGAGCTCCTTTTCAGGAGTTGGCCTCTGCCCTGCCCCGTCCCCGCAGAGCAGATGCACTGGGTGGTTCAGGAAGCAGCCTGAGCTCTGGGAGCCTTGAGCCAGGCTTTCCCCCGCCTTCTGTCCATCCATCACATGGAGCAGAGCCAACCATCCTGCTCCAGGGCGATGCTCATTCAGGCCAGCACACCCTGCTCAGAGGCAGATGAGAGGAGGGAGGGAGGCTCACCCTGGGTCTTTGCACCTCACACCGAGAGGATGAGCCATTGCTTTGGGCTCTTTTCACGTTCTAATGGGATCTTCCAGACTCTGTGGGATTATGACTACCGGGTCACTCCATGTGCCTCTAGGCTGCTTTATCTCTCTGCCAGCTTCACTCCCAATCAGCTGAAGCCAAACTGCCTACAGACCAGTCCTGGCAAGAAGAAGCAAGCACGTGTAAGGTGAACAACAGATCAGGAAGGTTAAAGTGAAAAACCACCATCGTGATCTGAGGGCTGGATGGGGGGTAAACCCAGTGGCCCCCTAGGAATGCCCATCTTCCTTCTCTCTAGTGCCCCCCAGGACAGCCCCCTAGTTGTCCTCCTGAAGTCACCACTGCAGACTCCAGCCTTGGACTGCAGGTGAGCAGAAGGTGTTCTCAGGTGAACTCAATGAGCTCAGCAGGCATGAGGGACAAGTCATGCAATGGGGCACAACAGCGTCTACCCCACCCATCTTAGGCTGGGATCATCAGAGCTAACCTTGATGCTCGTATCTTGGGCAAGGGGGAAAGGTACCTAGAACCCGAGAAGAGGGTCCCTACGTTCGATTTCTATTGCTGTGTAACAAATGGAAATTTGACTTCAAACACTACCCAGCTTGAGGCCTCTGGATGAGCTGTCTGGGAAATACTGCTGGCCTGGGTCCTATGTTTCAAGTGTAGAAAGATAAAAATCCAGATGCCAAATGATGATGCTGTGCATTTGAAACCTACGTCTTGTTATAAACCAGTGCCACTTCAATGCTGGCCACACTCAGCAGTTCTCCAGACACTCTATGAAAGAAACTGCTTCCAGGTCCATTCAGGGTAATGGTAGATCCCAGTTCTGTGGGACAGTAAGACTGAGAGTGCTGGCTCATTGATACATGCCATGGCCCCCTCCATCCCTCAGAGCCAGGCACGATGCTGTTCCCAAGGGCTTCAAGTCCCCCTGACATTCCCAGTTACTCCCTGCCTGAGAAAGCTCTTAGCTCACATATTTAGACCAGGACCAATTCATACTCAGTCTGGAGATTAACACAGCCCATCTTCGAAACCATTTCACAGACTTTTCCTACCACAGATCTGATAGCTAGTTTCCACTCCACACAAACAGGGTTCAGCCTGCCAAGGTCGAGAACAGCAACTGAGCAACTGAGTGTGTGTGTTTACATGCCAGCCTTCTTGCCCACCCAGGTCCAGCTGAAGCCAAGCCCACACATGTCATCATAGAAAAAGCAGTCAACCATAAACAGTCTCTGAGTCACAGAGCTGTGGAATTTCTTGCTTGGAAAGGACTTTATTGTTTTGGGTTCTTTATTTTGGAGTCACACACAGTGAATCTCAGACCTTACCTCTGGTACCTCTGGTTCTATGCTCAGGGATCACTCCTGATCATAATTGGGGGACCATATGTGGTGCCAGGATTCATAGAATTGGAATTGGCCACATGCAAGGCAAACCCCTTCCCACTGTACTAGCTCTCCAGCCCCTGGAAAGAACTTTAAAGATGATACACTCCCATCTTCTCATTGAGGCAGCCTCCAATGACAGAAAGCTCACTACTTCTCTGAATAAGACATTAGCATGAAATTGTTCATTCAAAATACATTAACCAAGCATCAAGTCTGCCAGGCTAAAGCTAGGCATGCAAGCACAAGAGAACAACAGCTCTGTGCTCTGCTGATATGAGTAAGTTCTTCTTTGGGACAAATTAAGAGGTGTCTGTCCTTGATCCCACCTGTCACACTCCATGCTCACCCTCAGGGCATCAGAGCAAGCCAACTTGCTCCATGCCACAGCTGGTGCCCCTCCTTCCCCACCCACACGTCCACCTGGCAAATGCGCCCTGTTGCCAAGGAGCTGGAGGCCTCATGTGTTGGGCTGCGAAGGTGCCAGCTGCAGGCCGAGTGCCCAAAAGGCCAGGAAGCTGCTTGGTCTCCTGAATGACAGGGACCTTCTTGCCCAACAAGGTTCTCACACCAGCTGGTAAGCAGCTCTCCTGGGCTGTTGTTACGGCTTCTCACAGAACCTGCCGGGCTCCCTCCTACTCTGTGGCCCTTGTCTACTCCAGCCATGTCCTTCACTCCAGCTCCTGCTCTGCTTCTGACCAGTGATTCTAAGACAAGTCTGAATTTAGCTTAGCCCTCGGGTTCCCTAGACATAAGCCAGCACAGATGGAAACCCATTTCCCTACATGGAGTGGGTTCCAGAGGAGACACCTCATCTGACCCCCGAGTGGGGAGCGATGAGGCCATGGGTTAGAGGTGGTTCCCTGGATCATTTTTGGATGGAGAGGGAAACATTCCAGAAAGGGGAGTCCTGTGGGCTCCCTCAGATCATTCTGGTAGAGACTCACTGTTATGAAGGCAGAAATTCCACCCACCATGGCGAGGAATCACTGCTCACTACAACGGTCCTCAAAGAAGTGGGGTGGGGCCCTGGTGGGAGGGGACCTACTCTGTGACTGAGAATGGAGGAGCAAAGAACCACAATGTGGGATACAGAAGGCACATGCAGACCCCACAGCATAGACCCCCCCCCCCCCACCCAGGGACTGGATGCCAAACCAGCTTTGACTGGCATAGCTGAAGCCGACCAGATGTGAAGACTCACCCCTCCATCCCCTTCTCTTTTCCCAGTCCTCCTCACCTCCTCTCCTTGCCAAAAGCAGGCACTCCCACAAACTCAGAGGTCAAAATTAATTTAATTTTTATTACCTTTTTTTTTCTTTTTGGATCACACCCGGCAATACACAGGAGTTACTCCTGGCTCGTGCACTCAAGATCACTCCTGGCAGTGCTCGGGGGACCATATGGGATGCTGGGAATTAAACCTGGGTGGGCCGCATGCAAGGCAAACACCCTTTCCACTGTGCTATAACTCCAGCCCAAATTTTTATTACCTTTTAAATTAAGTCTTAGACTCTCTATTCTTTAAAAGTAGGAGTCCTGGCAGTTTCAAATGAAACTTCTCTATCAATAGTCCTGAATTTCAAACATCACCTGCCCCTGATTTAAGATGCTTCCTAAAACAACATGGTTTAACCCTTGCACTATTCCCAATTCCTAATAAATGCCTGCTTATCTATTTTACTAAAATCATTCTTGAGAAGGTGACTATTCTGGGATGTCTGTTTTTTAGATAAAGTCTGTCCCTTTTTTTTGCTAATTAAAAGAAAAGGCTGTGGTGTGGCTTTTATAATTGAACACACAATGCCTACATCTTAGTAAGCACATGCTGAGCATAGTTCAAAGTTCTCTAGGTGACTCAGGGGCATCCTTGTGCAATGCAATCACCATCTTACAGGTGTTTCATCCTTAGACTGCAGTGCTTTGAATACTTGTGTTTGCTTCTCATAATTATTCTGCTTCCTCCTCCACAGATGACTGCCAAATAATAGTAACAAAAACAGGAACAC